CATAGCAAGGGGAATCCATATATCAGTATCATTCATTGTTCAACAACAGCCAAAGCATGATTTGAGCAAACCCCATGATTTATGTACTAGTGAATATATCCCAAAACGACGGTAAATCAGAAAAAAAAATGACCGATTTTCGGGTACTCGTGGGAGTTTTTTTTTTTTTTTTTTTTTTTCTGCAGTGTAGAAAGAAAGGGAGAGAAAAGCGTTATATTCTACAGGCACATAATGTCACGCCATCTTGAACATTTCATTAAATAGCTCACGGGTAAACATGAGTGATCCTGACACTCATGGAAGGTACTGAAAAAAAAAAAAAGAAAAAGTATAAACAACCTACCTATAAGAGTCTGAGTTTCTTTGATTGTAACAAAAAAGTGACGTTATTTCATACACTGATGATCGGCGCTTGTAAAACAATAATATCTCCTCTCTTTTTTTTTTTTTTCTTTCTTCTTTTTTTTTTCCCTTTCATTGAACACTTCCATTACAACATAATAAGAATGCCTAGCTTGAGCAATAACACTTCGAACAGCAGGCAAGCTTTTTTATTTCAACAGCTATACGAAATTTTCCAGTTCATATTCAAGTACGTTCAAAGTATGCTATTTATTAAACAACAAACTCCTGTTGCAAAAGCAGCTACGATGCATAACCCAATTGCACTACAATACTATAAAGGAAAGACGCTTGTTTTGGATTTGGATGAAACACTGGTACACTCTGTTCGACTTGGAACGACCGAAAATAACATCAGCCCGTCCATCAAAAAGACAACAATTGAAGTAACCAGTGATAAACAAAGTATATTATACGAGGTGTATAAAAGGCCTCATGTGGATTTCTTTCTCTCCACTGTAAGTGTGTGTGTATTTGTGTGCTTGTGTGGATAGATATCTGGATATTTTGTATGAGAATGCTAAATAATAGAGGTTTACAACTATAGATAAGTAAATGGTACCGAGTTGTTATCTTTACAGCATCCATGTCAGAGTACGCAGATCCAGTGATTGACTGGTTAGATCAGGATCAGACGGTGATCAGTCAACGTTATTTTCGACAATCATGCTTATTACGGAATGGAAACTTTCTTAAGGACATCACAATAGCTGAATCTGACTTATCCAAGGTATGTTTAATAGACAATAGTCCTGCAGCGTATGAATTATGTCAAGGTAAAAAAAAAAAAAAAAAGCGTATACTATTTTTAAATGGAATTGCCAAAGGTATTAAAGATGAATTTGTTTTTTTTATGAGCAGACAATGCAATTCCTTTACCTACGTGGATATCCAATCCCAAAGATGATTGTTTACTCGATTTATTACCACTTTTAGACGCACTTCGTTTTACTGCTGATGTTCGGAGCATTTTAAGTTTAAGAGATTCAGATCATGTTTGTTAGTTTATTCCCTTTTTTTTTTTGTTTACATCCTCTAATACTGTATATATCCCTTTTTAATGATGACCTCTCTTTTTCCACACCCCATGATACATTTCGTTTGATCTTTTTCTTTTATTATTATAACTATGCACGTGTGCATTCCATGTGACACTTTTTTCTGTAATAAATATCTTTCTTCCTAGATGTAATCCGTGTAACCATAAGCAAATAATATTTTGATGTCATTCTCACATGTACTATAATATGTTGGACCACGTAGTCAATGTGACACAAGATGATAATCCCATAATCACATCATCCAAAGCTTCATAACTAGAAATAGCATAAGCCATCCCTCGGAGAAGAAACACCCATTTACATCCCCATCATTCGTTTGCTAGGGAGGACTTGCTGTGTGTTATTAATCAGGTGAGTGATACTGGTGATATAAAATTTAGTCTAAAGCATGGTACAATCGTTTCAAAATACTGGTAGTCAATGTAAAATTGATAAATTTTGATTGGTGAATAATAATCTGGTGAACAATCATTTTTTCGTATGCTGAGTAATACTTTTGACATCGGTGACGCTTCACTTGATGTAAATATATACTCTTTGACTTGGCCGCTTATCTTTAAATGCTGTAAATGTATCTTGCGCTTTACGGCTAGATTTTAGTAATGAAAGAGATAGCTACAAGTCAAGATGGAATGCACGTACAAAACAAATTGTGTTCTTGACATTTCTATACTCAAACTGAGACCAACAGAAAAGCGAGTGTATCATATCACTTAACCAGTATTGGTTACCGTATGACGAAAAAGGGTGTATTTTATACGCTTTAAAATATAGGTATAACGATAAACGATGATCCAACAATATATAAAAGTGTGAAACAACTAGATCAGCTAGAAACTTTTAGTTTATACATGTATATATATGTTTGGCTTAGAGTCGTTGTAACCCAAAAAAAATAGCTGTATCTCATATATAGAATACTCAACCAAGGTACTATATCTTGATATTCCAGTTATGCATTTTTTATTATTATTTGACAATGTTTTAAATATTCTGTAATTTATACGAGCTTATTGAATCAATCAGGTTTTTTATTGTTGTGCTACATTATAACAAGTCCATCAATTTAAAGTTGACATTTCTTTATCCATCATTGGAAGCTTGCCACCCCCATTTCAATTTATAAACATGTTCTATATATATATATAAAATACTCAAACCACTCAACACAATTTTAGTTCTTTAATAAATCACAGCATTAGCAATGGTTTCATCTAGCTCTTAATAATATTTACTGAACAATGGTTTTCAGTGGATAATGAAGTAGCCTTTCCGAGTATGTTATCCATATGATTGGAACAAGCTAAATGCACATATACCTACATTCGGACTGGTACTATTGTATAGCAACGTTTAAAAAAAAAAAAAGAGCGATCGCTTTCCAATTGCAGGTTGGGGGGTTGTGTGTTGGTTTTTATTTTTCTCCTTATATTCTTTTTGTTTCTTAGGAGTATTTTCATCTATATATCTCTCCAGTCCCCTGAGAACCAAACTGACGTTTTGTTACTGTTGCTTTTTCCTTTTATTTTGATGTTCTTTTTCCAGTTTCGTCTATTTTCATTTCAATTTCCTTTTTTTTTTTTTTTAATTTATTTATTGGGGTTTCATCTTTCTACTGCTTTTGTTTTTTTAGTTGACAAGAGGAACTTTATCTTGCCGATTAAAAAAAAAGTATAATCTGGGATAGAAAGGGGAAGAGGAGGTGAAGGTGAAAAAAAAAAGATTTTCAGTAAGCATTATCTTGTTGTATATGTGCATCATGCATTTACATGACGGAAAATGATGTGGTCTGACAAGATAAAAAGAGTCTTTGTCTTCTAATTAAAAAAGAAGGCTCATTAATTTGATTTTTTATTTATTTATTTTTTCACAGTAAGACCAAAAGGGAGAATCATAATAAGTCACTATTGTAGTGAATTTGAATGTGAAAATACAGTCTTTTGTTTCAAAAGGAAGGGGATAATCCCAAAGCAAGTTGAGACCCCTTTTAAAAAAAAAGAGAGGAGTGGGATCTATATATTTAGGCTCACCCATGTTTATCTTTTTTCTTGTGTAGCCCCTTTTGAGTCAAATTAGCTTTAGAAAAACGAGAATAGTTTAGCTGCTGAGATCATCTTACTTCATTTACAGAGTGCCTTAAACAGCAGGAGAGAGGCGCAACCATTTATCACTACAAACAAGGGGTGGATATTACCATAGAAACTCATATAAATAGCCATCCTTATTCCCAACCTCGGTATTCTTTTCTTTTCTTATTCTATTATAATATCATTTCTCTTTTATAACAATGAAGGTAATAAAAATACAGTGTAAAATAATATAGGTATCCCATTTTGATTCTTATCATGACATTTGTAGTTCTCCGTCATTTCTGCTCTTATTCTCGGTATTACTGCTTCTGTCTTTGCTAGCGATACGTTTGACCTTCCTGCCGAAGGATCCTCTTTTACTACTTCGGATACCATTCGCTTTGTTACCGATGATGTGACAGATGACAGTGAGAATAAAATCCAAGCTGTCTTGTTCAAGTATACCGATTCTGCCGATTTTGAACCCAAAAAGACCATTGGTTTGTGGAGCGCTGCATTAAATACAGGTGACGAATTTGTATTCGACTGGAGAGTCGATATGGATGCTGGTTACTATAGCGTCTGTGTCTTTGAGATTGATGATGACGATTATGATGACGAAGATTTTGATTATGAAAATGGGGATTCTTGTAGTTATCCTTTTGCTATCACGGGTGGTTCTCCTCTTGCCAACTCGAACAGAAAGAAGAGATCCATTTATGCTGCTTAAACTACACCTTCAAACATCAAACACAATTCACCACCCTTTTTTTTTTATAGAGCGTTTCTTTCCTATTTTTTTCTTCTTATGTAACGCTCACAGTATTAATCCCCTTAGCCTCAAATTTCAAAGTATATTTTTTTTTTTTTTGTTTAATAAACAATTTTAACCATCACCTCTTCATTTTTGATTGTTGTCTGACATTCAAATCCACACAATAAAAAAAAATATATCAAATGTTGTAGCACACAACACATATTTTTTCTTTATCCCCTTCATCATGTCTAAAGTTCAAGTTCAAGCTTATACGATCCCTCTCCTCCATGCTGCTAAATACCCTTCCTCTGCTGTTTGTGGTGTCTTGTTGGGTACAAACACACCTGATGGCGTACAAGTAAACACCGCCGTCCCCTTCTTTCATCATTGGACTACCGTTACTCCCATGCTTGAAGTTGCTTTAAAGCAGGTAAAAAGAAAAAACAAGAACACTGGAAGACATTGCAGCTATTAACTGTGGTACATATTAAATAGACAGACATTTACGCCAAGCAAAATAGTTTAAGCATTGTTGGTTGGTATCAAGCTAATGCCAGTGCTGAAGATAACGCCTTGCCTGAAAGAGCCATCAAAGTAGGGGAGACAATCAGAAAGAACAATGGCAACAAGGCACTCATCTTTTTGGTAAAAAAAAAAAAATGCCTGGTAGACACAGTGGACGCGCGATGATGCTGACCTTTTCTCTTTATTTTTATCATTGTAGTTGGATAACAAGCAATTCTCAGAATTAAACGAATCCGCCATTACAGTAAGTTCAAATAGGAGGAGAGTAAATCAAAGGTAAACTAAAAGACATGTGTAGCCCTTTGTTTTCGCAGAGAATCAATGGAGAAAGGTCAAGGAGGCTTTCCAAGGCCCCGAAGTTCGTTTGGTGGAAGAGGAGGAGACGATTTCCAAAGCACGCGAACTTTTTAGCTCTTCTGCATATACTAGACTTCACGATTTCGACGAACACGTAGAAAATGTTTCATTAGATTGGTTAAATACGAGCAAACTTGTTTTATAGAAAGAGAGAGAGAGAGAGGAAAGGGAGTGGATGTTATTTTATATATATATAAAAAAAAAAGAGGGCCGTTTGTATGTCTTCAGACAAACTTCTTATCGTTACGCTCAACACGTAATTTCCAATAAAGATAAGCAGCGATACCAAACAAAAATTGTGCAAGGAACGCATAAAAGATATATTTCAAGAAGGAGGACATGGTTCCTTTTGTCTCGGCAGATCGCATATTTACCTCATTCATCTTGGAATGCATCATGTTGCTTTGGGCTAAAGAGCGTTTCTATACATGCCAAAAAAAGAAAGGTTACATAAGGTTTTTGAAAATATAATATAGCATGCTTACATCCAAGGTGGAAAGAGTGCCTTCTAGTTGAACTAACGCAGATTGAATATCCTTCATTTTAAGGTTTTGCTCGGCAGCGATCCTTTCAATTTGTTGCATATTCCTTTGTGACTCCTTGGTGATCTCTTGAGCAATACGTTGGATTTCAGCACTACCGACCCAAAATGAGGTTATTATTTTTTTAAAACGCCACAACCCACCCACACACACACACACTTACGTAGCATCTGGTCCTGAACCTGAGTTTGCAGCTGTACCTGCGCCTGCACTCAATTTACTGAGATCAAGGACCTTATAATTACCACCAATGGCATCCTCAGGCGTGGGTGCACCTAAAGCTTCGATCTGCAATTGCAAAATTTGGATATGCTCAATGGCTCTACGCTGCGTATCGTAAATCGTGGCCAAATTCACAGCCACTTCACCTCCATAATCTTCCGCGTCTCTTAATTTTCTCATTTGAAATTCGGCTTCTTCGATTTTCTGTTAAAAATATCTCTTTAGTAAACCATATACACACACAGACAAAAAAAGAGAGAGAGAGAGATGAACTTGCCTTTTTTTGCTCTTCATCAATACCTGTGAATTCCTCGCCTCTCTTTTTCTTTTCATCTTCCAAAGGTCGGCTTGGATGCTACGAGATTATGTCAGGGTATGCTGAATGGATAAGAAAATAAAAAAACGTATTCTTACCTCGAGCTTTTGAGGTGGATTCAATTGTTTGGTTTCAAAAGAAATAATATCATGATCATCTATCGGAAACGCGTTAAAAATAAACGACATTTACAAACACATCAACAAACAAAGCAATTTTTTTTTTACCAGCAGGTGAATGAGAAGCAGCCTAAATAAAAGTCAAAAACAATTATTATTTTTTGAATTGTACTAAATGACGCGCAAAAAACTTACAGAGATACCAAAGTAGTACCCAGTGGGTAACTTGATGCCTGATTTCTGTACACAAGTACGATAATCTTTACCACCCGATCCATTATCCATAGACACCTTTTTTTTTTTTTATTTCCCCAACATTGGAAGGGTGAATAAATAATAATAAATAATAAATTAAAAATAAACACGCTTACGGTTAATGTGGTGTCCTTGTAAGAGACCCGAAGATAAGCAGGGTTCTCTGAATTTCTATAACTGATAGAACATGTACCCAGTGTATGCTTTGTAGGATCTGTACCAGCAGCAAAAGCTAAAGTGCCGTCATTTAACAAGACCATGGTCGTAGGTTTATGCGTCTATTTTTTTTTTTTATACTTTTCGTTTTAGGGATTAATTTATACATACATTTAAAATGTACCTTACCACAGGGTTTGCAGAATCAAGCCAAACACTAAGACCATCCCATTTATCTTTAGCACCAAATACAGGTCCGGGTTCATGGTTCTCTTTGGCATACCAAAAGGCTAAACCTCGTCCACCATGCATACTATTACCAGACACTTTGAATGCTACCTCTACTTCCCATGACTCATAAGGGTTAGGGATATCCGACCAGATATAACCTTTGGTGTTGGGAACAGAAGGTGAAAGTCGAATAAAGTCATCGGACTTGAGAACGTCTAGTAAATAATAATAAAAAGCATTAGCAGCCATGCTTTTCTTTCTTCATGCATCAGGTACCTCCTCCTGTTGTCCAGAAGGGAACGGTTTCATTGTAATAAAAATTCTTTTTAAAGGAAAGCTTATAATCGAATTTAAAGGTAGGTGCAAGAGGTAAATTCTCTTCTGCTTGAATGGGATCTTTTTTGTTGGATCCCCATATGCCTGCTGAACATGCTTGTAATAAGCAACTTGTGATGGCTAGAATACTAAAAACTTTCATGATATCACAATGAGAGAGAAAAGAGAGACACGTTTATAAAAAAAAAAAAGAAGGGGGGGTTGCCGCATACATTCGTTTAACGGCTGTTTAAAATTAATTTTTCCATTAACAGCTTTCTCAAAGGTCACACAACATATTCAAAACCTCCCCCTTCCACTGCTGCCCTTCCAATCAGCGGGTTTATAGTTTTATGCTGTTGGAAATATTCTACTTGCTGAAAATATTTCTTGTGTCACGCTCTTTTAAATAAAATAAAAAAACGCTGATTGGCATCATTTCTGTAGGTTGTGTCAATAATGCTGGGTGTAGAATTGCTATCCTCACTTGGGCTCATGACGTTTTATCACCTTGTTATTCCCTGATTCACTTCATAATACATCAAATGGCAATCCTCTTGTTTCATTACAAAGAGTCTCCAGTCATAATAATTACTCTGACATTTTTTATTTTCTGCCAAACGGATACAACAATGATAAATTGAATGGCCTTTTTTACCGTGGAAACATGTTTAAATTGTCAAGGTAGAGACTAGAATGAAAATTAACCTCTAGTTTTTGGTATGTATTGTAAAACGCCAGTGTCAACATACACATGGGAGAATTTTCCTTTCTTATCTAAAAAGATGTGCCTTTCTGAAAAAGGGAGACTATTTTCTAACACCCACACGTATAAAGTCATCTCATCCTCCACCCCATCCAATCAAGAAAGCACCCATCAATAAAAAAAGAATGTATTTTTATTTTCAAGGACATATCACTTCAGAAAAATACAGACAGTTAATAGCCAGAGAATATAAATTACGAATCGCTCTGATAGTGTGGGCATGAATGGACCTTGAGATTATTTCTTCCGAAGTATTTCTCTATGAAAAATTTATAACATCCAATGACAAAAGAAAATTTTTTATTTCAATTCCATAATTCCAGTAGCACTCTAGAATGAAGTCAAGGCTTGCCTCCCCCACTAGGTTTGACAATGTGAGAAGCCTTCAACTGTATAATGACAGCAAGTCGAACATGTTTTATATGATTGTCCATCCTTAATGCAGTGTAATTATTATTATCATTCTCACCACTGTGAATCAGATACATTTGACCGGCTTTCTTTTTAAAAAAACAAATTGGATAATCACTATGCAAGTACAGAATCAAGCCTAAAACTGGCATTCCCAGCTAACTAGCATCGCCTGCGTAGGAACGGACAAGCGTTTTGTGACATCTCTAATATTCATTATACGTAGTTATATATATATGTAACTTTAATGCTTCATAAAAAAAGGCTAGTACGTAAAGTCCAACAGTGGGTGAATTGGCATGATGGGCCTCTAAAAATAATTTCTTTTTCCACATTGCCACACCCAATCATAATGTGACATTGGAGTTACACAGCATAGGCCAAAGCTCCTTTACGCATTTTGTCATTGTAATTGTCAACGGATGCCGATTAGCACACGTGTATTATGGAAATCATTGTCATAACAAGCCTTTTATATTATTCCGGCCAATACCATCCTCGACACTATCTGAAAAAGTATCTTACATGGAAACGGTCCCTTGCGTATTATACCTCGAAGATCGGTGTCTATGGAGTGTGATGAATGTACTTCTGTGTCTCTACAACAGTTTCTGATATGAATAATGCTCTCTTTTGTATTAGGGCCTTTTATTTAAACATTAAAAAAAAGAGGATCCATGTTTTCTTTTTTTTTAAAAAAACCTGCTTGCATCAAGTGTGGTATTAGCTAACTATGTGGGAGGCACTATCATGTCCAATGATGGCTTGAAAGAATTTGTTTAACTACACTGATATCTGGATATCTGGAGCATGATTCACCATATCTATATCGTTGACCAGTACAAGTCATAATGATAGCTTGATACTACCATGCATACCAAAATATGCTCCCCCACATAATAATCTTACATCGTATAGTCCCACCCTTGTCAACTCATTTTTTTTTTGTTTTTGTTTTTTTTTGTAACCACATCTGTATGACCTTGACATAAGCAAACAATATGAAAAGTTTATTTTACTGTCTATTGCTTTCTTATAGCTTTTTTGCAAGAAATAGCACGGTTAATAACCCCACAACTGCACCATTTAACAGATAAAGAATGTATAGAGAGTTTGGGTACAGTTGGATTACCATTTATGTTCAGTAGCAATTGTTTATGACGGGTTGATATCGTAATGTTTTTTTTTAAAAAAAAAAAAGTTGAGGTGTTTGAAAATCATGATAAAGATCACACGTATGATTATCCCCAAAAACATTATGATTGACTACACCCACATAATTGAATGTATCTATATATTCTTATACATTTGGTAATATGGTAGTTAATAAAGAAGACTGAACCTTTCACTCTTTTTTTTTTATGTCAATGCTTAAGGCAATAAAACAGACATTTGCTGATTTTTTTTTTTTTTTTTTTTTGTCAAAAAGGGAATATAGACAATTTCGAAATGGTGTTTTTTTTGGGGTATAGAGCACCAGGCTTGGGTATACTTTATTTTTTTTTTATATCTATGTCTACATCTAACTCTATATCTATATCTATGTCTATCTCTACATCTATCTCTACATCTATCTCTACATCTACCTCTATATCTATTTCTATGTACAAAGCACCGGGCTTGCTGTTGTTTACAGGGTAAATTATGTACATGTAGCACCAGGCTTGAAAGTATTTACAGGCTTGAAAGTATTTACAGGCTTGATGGTATTTACAGGGTATCATATGTATATGTGGCACCAGGCTTGAAGGTATTTACAGGGTAGATTATGTATATGTGGCACCAAGGCTTGAAGGTATTTACATGGTTGCAGATATTTACAGTCTTGAAGTTATGTTCATAGTCTTGGAGGTATTTACAGGATTACATGTATTTACAGTCTTGTAGTTATTTACAGTCTTGTAGTTATTTACAGTCTTGAGGATATTTACAGTCATGAGAATATTTACAATCTTGAGAATATATACAGTCTTGAGGATATTTACAGTCATGTGGATATTTACAGTCTTGAGGATATTTACAGTCTTGAGCATATTTACAGTCTTAGGCATATTTACAATCTTGAAGGTATATACAGTCTTGGAGATATTTACAGTCTTGAGCATATTTACAGTCTTGAGAATATTTACAATCTTGAAATTATGTACACAGTCTTGGAGGTATTTACAGGGTTACATGTATTTACAGTCTTGTAGTTATTACAGTCATGAGGATATTTACAGTCTTGAAGATTTTTACAGTCTTGAAGATATTTACAGTCTTGAAGATATTTACAGTCTTGAGGATATTCACAGTCTTGAGGATATTTACAATCTTGAAGTTATGTACACAGTATTGGAGGTGTTTACAGAGTTACACATATTTACAGTCTTGAGGATATTTGCGGTCTTGGAGATATTTACAGGCATGACAGTACTTACATGGTATATTGTGTACGCAGCACCAGAATTTGAGAATTTGAGTGTTTTGTATAGGTAAAGCTTATGAAGTAAAGAGGGCATGTTTCAAGTAAAAAAAGATATATGGTAAGTGCAAAGGGTATATGGTCTAAAGGGTATATGTTGTAAAGGGTATATGTCGTAAAGGGTATATGTTGTAAAGGGTATATGTTGTAAAGGGTATATGGTCTAAAGGGTATATGGTCTAAAGGGTATATGGTGTAAAGGGTATATGGTGTAAAGGGTATATGTTGTAAAGGGCATATGTTATAAAGAGTATATGGTGTAAAGAGTATATAGTGTAAAGGGTATATGGTATGAAAGAGTATATGGTGTAAAGGGTATATGGTATAAAAGAGTATATGGTGTAAAGGGTATATTCTAGCACCATGCGGGGTATAGGACGAGTCTTCAGCACCAGGCGGAAAATAATGCCCTCTAATGGGCATGATCTATCAAAAAAAGTCTATGAGGAAGAAAAGAAAAGCGCAGTAACCTTGTCATTTTCGATTAAATACATGAGTAAAAGTTTCACATGAATTATGTTATACCCAAACTAGTGGTTTGTACTACTTTAAATTTTGTCATAAACAAAAACAAAATATAGAAATCTTACGAGACCTTTTCAAGAACCCACATATATAAGCGATACACTTTAATGAAGGCATAATAAAATAATAGAAGAAGAAGCTGAGAATTGTTTTTAGATTCTTCAAGGTATAATAAAAAGTATGACAATTTGTGTTGATTACAGTTTTGTCAAGAAAAGTATTTTTTTTATGTAAACAAAAAAGTAGACTAAAATAGGGGGTGAAAATAAATTTGATTACAGCATCAAAAAATGGGATTTTTTTATTTATGTCAAGAGATATAAACCGAAATATCATATCACACACTCCCTACACTTGCAAGCGCATCTATATGCCCTTCTTATCTGAAAACGTTTCTTTCACCTGTGTCCAAGTAATAAAGACTGCACTTTCTTTGACCAATCTAAAGTCATGGTGAAATGTTAATTTTTTTACAGGTATTAAAGAGAATCACTAACATTCTTGTTTTTCTTGGATGAAACAATAAACAAATGATAAGCAACTATACTCTTTTTTAACAGGTTGGGGTGATCATTGTCATCGCTCAGCCTATTAGCGGTGTGCTAGATAATAATCTTTTGTCAAACTCTTTGTGACATGGAGGAATATAGCACCAGTGAGGATCCTTTGATAGGGCTTTACACTTTTGCAAGGTAAATCTTAAAATGAATAGGACAGAGTGTCTAAAACCTGAGGGAATAAGGTATGCATTTTGTGTTTGTGACTGGGAGGTTTAAAAGCCCCCTCGAGATAGCTGTCCTGTACTGGAATAAAGCACAAATACTGTTTTGATCGATATGTATGTCATGTTCGTATAAATGATCACGTCTTTATATTTTGCTTATAATGGGTTGATTGACCATACCAAGATGTTCTACTTGTCATCCGTACGTTGTTGAATTTTTACCCTTTACGCTATCGTCTTATCTGAATACCATTGGATTGATTAAGGGAGTGCATAGTGTCAAGGCACCAACCAGCTGTTCTCGGAAAACGCTCTCTTTTTCATTGTATGACAAATGCGTAATCGTTTTCTAATGTCTAATCCTAATGAAATATGCCTTTCTTTGAAAAAAAACTCTTCGTATGTGTTGTCTTCATGTATATAAAAGTACGAAGGTCATAATCTTCACTATAAATGATGCATTTAAAATGCTAATGAGTTAAAAACATTTGGTGAGTATAATGGAACCCTAATCGGTACACTCTAGATGAACAAGAATGCTTGTAACTAAAAAGAAATTTAATCATATCCTTAATGATCAACTTCTGTCATGTCTGTAGTAGCCAGTACGTTATTATCTTACGTATAAATTTCTTTTCTGATAGCTCCGGTGATACAACCTTAAATCCGGACTCTGCTTTCGCTCAAAATGATTGGATAAAAAAAAAACTTTTGTTTACAATGCATGATTATGAACGACCTTTAATTGACTTTTCGTCATCTCTCAGTCTTTGGAAAACAAATAACAGACTATAAAAAATGTTCTTTTATGTCTCTTGAACCTATTACCTTTTTTTTTTTGTTATCCTAATTCATGATCCATATTATGGTCGATATCTGTAAACTACATCAGATGTTACACATCCCATTACATTTACGCATCAAAGATATGTAGATAGAATCTCCATAATTTTTAGCTATAACAAATGGTCAAAAACCCGGTTAGACTTGTCACACTCTATACAATAAAATTGGGTGTTCTTACAGGACAAACAAAATGTTTTAAGAGGTGCTTTCTTAGAGATCGGATTTATGATTCGCCGATGATAGTTTCATAATTAAATCCGGTGCACCTAACAAACATAAAAATAAAAATATCATGATGAGCCACCGTTAAACTGGTGCCCAAAAACCTTTGATTTTCCAACGTATTCCTCAATTTTATCCTAGATGTAATTCTTCCCCGCTAATAAGAATACAAAATTTAGCTGTTGCTTCCTTGGTTTTTATAGCAAATCAATCGATAATCATTTATAACTTTTAAAACACTCAATTCAAGGGAGATATAATATCAGTGAACAGCTTTAAAAGCTCCATGAAAAGCATAGAATTTTGACAGACATCACTTACTCGGAGGACCTATCAAATATTGGACAAGAAAGGTGGGAAATAAATAAATAACAAATAAACAAACAACAATTCATAAAATTAAAAAAATACTTGTTTTAGATATTGACACTCGTCATATGCTGCATTGCGCCACATGCGATTTGCACAGCATTTCTCTATTTGATGAAGGTTGATCATGACATTAACAAACACCACCAGTGTCTGATTATACAGGAATGTATCTCAAAATTAAGAATAAATAATTTAAGTAGGCCCATAAATACTAGCAATCATTGTCATTCACTTTTTTTTTCGCTACAAAAACCGCATAATATAACTACAAAATTCAAAGTTAGTTATGCGGATTGAATAGACAGTGGTGGTATTAACAAAAATACGATGAAAGGGGATGGTAGTTATTTAGTATTTATTCAGAAAGGGAAGCCAGTTCCAACAAAAGGGGTTATAATTCAAGTCAATGACCCATACTGTAAGTTTGTTAACATAATTGTTCTTCTTCGTTTGTGCTAATAAGACCCTCTTCTATTTAGACATAGATATCAATTTGGAAATTCTTCAATTAGAACGTTCAACTAGTACTGTTCCAAACAAGTATGCTCTATTGCACGGAGACAGTCCTGGTATGACTTATAATATAGACTCCAGTGATTTGTCATATAATACTATCAGAAAAATTGGGGTAGAATATGAGCATATTAGCAATCATTTATCTATCAAAGTATCAAGAGGATGCATGAGTGATATTAATGACTATATTGATTATACCTATTACAAAACCGTAAATATCATCGAGCCATTGACACTTACTTATATTTAACATATCACTGCTTCAATAAAATGATGCCATTTTTAAACCATCGTTTCACCTGCGGACATTCAATTTTAAAAATTCCCCCACCCACCAAGGGCACAATGGCCTTTTTTTAAGAAACATTTCCATAAACAAGTCATGCCTTTTGAATTAAATGTATCTTAGTTCTCATTGGTCACTTAGACATCGAAACTTTGCTGCTGGACTTTTTTTGATATTTGATGAACAACAACAACGGCTGCGCCTACGGATCACGCATGAATTTTCTCGATTTCCCCGGCTATGTCAAACTCTGGCCAATGATATTTTATGTAATCGCACCAGCAAACTCGAAGCCTTTGTATGGCCACATATTCTTACCGCGCCTACCCCTTCGCTACCATCCGAAAGTTGGTATTCTCACGATTTGGTGTCCCAGATGCGACTTCAACAGCTATGGACCCAATTTCAGCCTAACTCTTTCCGAAGGTACTATCAGCAGCAATGCTCAACAACTCACAACTTCCCAATCCGGAATATCAAACAATTCTGGCGATGCCGTATGTTCCCACAGGCGCGCACTGTATACTATCGAGTTTTCTCTAGGTGTATACCCACAAAACAATTGATGTTTAAACATTTCGGTAACGTTTCCTCTCCGCAATGTTCTTTCTGTGGTACGGCTGAGGACTCAACCACTCATTTCTTGGTGGAGTGTCCAATCAAGCGACAGCTTTGGCACCGAGTCATGTCCCACTACTTCCCGTATCTTGAATTTACGCCAACAATGTTGTATAAGTCATTATGCTCCCTAAAACATCCGTTGTCTATGCAAAACAATGAGTGGTATCTCGCTATAGTCTCTACTACTCTTTGGCAAATATGGAACCTGTACTGGCTTCATGGCACAGACAATCCACGGCCTTATCCCGTCGCCAATCTACCAAAAATTGCGTCAAAAATTATTCAACAAATTAATAAGATTATCCACCCTGTCCCAAACCTAGATTAATTCTCTTGTCTATGTTACATACATCCACGAACTTCCGTTTCATCAAGTCCCACCACTCCGCGATGTGTGACTTAAAAATTTTGTATTAAATCATACCCTTAATAAAAATTTATTTACAAAAAAAAAAAAAAAATTAAATGTATCTTCTAATATTTAGTTGTATCGCCGGTGGCATTGCAGGTCTTGTCTATTCTAGTGAAAAATATACCCAAAATGCCAGAACAAGACTTGCTCAACGAGTTTCTTTCCTCGCTGACAGACCTTGCGGTGTCCATGTAAGTCTTTTTTTTTTTTTTTTCCTTTCTTTGATCTCTCTTCATTGTCTCACCACATAAGAAACTAGGAAATGCCTCGTAAAGTCACGGTGTATATTACTGCACCACCTGGCGATGGACTTGAAAAGAGTCGAACTTGGTTCCGTGAATATGTCAAGGTAATATAATACGCCAACCCACCGAATAAACATGTATAAAAAATAAACTGACATTCTTTGCTTGCAGCCTATTCTTGTTGCAGGTGCTGTCGATTACAGCTAAATCACCTGGCCAAATCGAAACTTCTGTCATGGAAGAAATCGTTCAACGTCGTCGTGAAGCCGCTGAAGCAGCGGCCAATGCAAAATCAACCGACCATAAACCATTAGAAAACAAGTCCAACACAGGTTTTACATCACCTGTGGATAACATGAACAACAAGAAGAAAAGTAAAGTGGTATCCGATGGAATTATAGCGATTGGTAGAAACGCGTATTGTGAAGTGCTTTGCGCATTAGGCAAGGGATGAGATGATATTCTTGCTGTGTTTGTAGAGGTACGTCTTCTAGAAGTGTAAGGACATAGAGAAGACAAAGGATGAGACATCTTTTATTGCAGAGGAAACCCTGGAAATGTTAAAAGCCACATCATTCAAGAATTTGACAATTTCTCGCTTCCACTTGTGTTTTCACATATCATGGATAACCCCCAAATGAACATCCTTAGATGGCTCAGTGTGTCTTTAATTGTAAATGTATCTGGAAGCAAGAAAATACGCTGGTAATGCTGTATTGAACCAAATCGACATTTTTAAGAACGGGATGAGGATTTATAGCAAGAAGAAAAAAATATTGTATTAGATATGATATAGCCGAAGTATTGAGGAAATAGACATGCTAATTCAAGTAGATACAAGTATTTTTGGTAAGTTAATGTATGTGACAATGTTAATTTGCGTTAAATAAAGTGTGTAATATACATATATAAAGTATGATGTAAACGATGTCTTTTTTTATTTGTTTCCATATGCTTTAAGGGGGAAGGATAGCAAAGGTCTCTTTTCCCAGACACGAGAGATTTTCCACGGAAGAGTAGTCTAGCACAAACTAAATTCTTGCTTCAATGTTAGTAGGTGTTAGATAGAAAGTTTGAATGCATACTTTATCCCATCATTACCTTCATGGTCATACAAGATTGATGTGCCACAACAAAATAGTTACACGGAACACCGGGTACTCGTAAGCCTCTTTGTGTTTGTGCTTTCGTCGCTTTTAACATCGTGCTGTAGAAGAAAGAAGATGGAAGAACTCTATGACTATTCTCGGCATAGATATTTTATTAATATCGGTAAGCGACTTATTTTTTAAAATTACGGCGTTGCTTACTTCGTACAGATTTGGACTATGACTTGATCATCTCTAAAGCGATGGCCATTAACGGATCTTTAATGCAACATAAAAGGTTAGTCGACATCAAAACAGCAAAAATTATACGTGTATCTTTTTTTGACAGATTCCTTTTTAAAAAAAGATATGAAAGCAAACACCGTACCTCAATTGTATATGACACTACCGCGAGAAATATCATTGCCAGAGGCGACAAGGCTGATAAAGCGAATGAGAATCCGAAAGGGCTCCAGGAAGGCGCTATTTATGTACACAACACCCTAAGCGAGCTCGCTAACATTTATTTAAAATCGAAGCAACAATCCTTCGACAATACGGCACTGTACGCGCTCTTGTACGAGGAGGCTATAGACCTGTTACAAAAAATACTGGATCATTATAAACAAGAATTGAATGGTGTAAATATGGATTTTTATTATTCTTTGAATCTTCCAACCAGTTGGGATTATAAAATAAGAGAAGAATTGTTCATGCCTCTATTCGTAAAAGCTGGTCTTCTCCATGAATATGATGGTCCAGATAGGCTGTTTTTTTTTTCAATGTTAGAGTTAAATTTTCAAATCATGCAGACGAATAGAAGTTTCCGGATGGGTAGAAACATAAAGCATAATAACCATCGCATCATATGTACAATAGATTATCAAGGTACATACTCCGTGGATTTGAAATTGGTATCGGCTCAATATCCTACTTTCAGATTAGCACAAAGAAAATTGGTGCCACGATTGTTGAAACAGGCTCATTTTGTAATCCCGTTTGGACTAAAGGAATTACGATTATCATTGATAGCATGTGTGGAAAAGCATCATTATACTATGTTATCATCAGAATCTATCGATGACATGCTTGAAAAACTCAGCCAAGAGTACAAGGGATGTAAACGCCTCGTAAGAGTTCATGGAAAGGAAATTTGAAAGACAATTAAAAACTTTTTTTTTTTTTTATGCCAGAGAAAAGCAAGTGATATTTTAGATGTTCAGCCATTGCCAGACTTGAAATCTCGCTGGACGAATAAACCAATCACTTTAAGGGAGATACTTGAACATTTTTTTGGTCATGCAGAAAAAGTCTTTATAAATGAAGTAGATAAACTTCTTGTAGGCAGGAGCAATGTAGTACCCAGGCCAGTGGACATTTTTTACACAAGTCGAAAACCGGATACATTTTTATCCCTGGGGATAATCTCAATATTTGATTGTTTCTCGAAAAAGTATTTCAGTAAACTAAAAAAACTTTACGTATCCGCGGAATTCGATGAGGATTCCCCCATATTTGAACTCTTTGACTATGATGCCCGACAACTTGCAGCTAAACAGCTTTTAGACTACCTAATGGAAGAATTTAACATACGTAGAAACCCCATTATATTACCCAACGAAGAACCCAAAAGTTGCTTAAAACCTATTATCTTGATCAATATCGGTAAATTGACTCCTTAGTAGTATCGGCTTCGTATTAACCTGACCTATTTGAAACCAAACAGATATATCGTCTACACAAATCCAGACTGTGTTTACACACTTAGATAAAAATAGACGAATTGGACAGAAGCAATTTTTTGAATGGTAACAGTGATAGGCATCAAAATATCTTTTAAAGAAAAAATCCAACTAAGTTATATTGTATTGCATAATAGTAATATGCAACCGTTGGATAGTTTCGTCAAGCAATCAGAAATATATCAAAGACCAGTACTACATATACCAAATAGGTAAAACTACTTGAAGAAAATGCCTATCTTTGCCAATTCTGATTGTATGTTCAGACTGAAGTTGGGTTTAGAAAAGATTTTTGGTGACTATGTTCAATTGTACTCAAGTTACAAAAGAAATGTGAAAAAAAGAATACCAATGAGCCCGGAATCCAAACTACTTGGACGGGCTTTCCGAGACATGCGGAAGAGTAGTACTTTAAGCAGTGATGAAAGGATAGAATCAAGTAAAAATCTGCAAAAGGAAATCAGAAATTTATTTGTCTCCTTGGACCCAAACATGTTTAAAGAGCTTATGGCAAACATTGAAATGTACGATCTTTTTGTGTCGAAGGATGAATCTTGTGGTTCGGATAGTGAGTCATGTACTACATGCCATCCAGGCTACATGTATTTTTTTATGATCACATATCTGCACTGTCTCAACAAGCAAATAGAGGAAAAATTAGAAAGTACTGTAGGATCGAGTTGGAGAGCCAACAATATTTGGTATGCCGTCTCTATGGATAAAAAGCTATTGGATACTGTCTTCGGGTCAATAAAGAAATTGGAAAAATCAATCTTTGCAAGTGGAATTTTAGGGAAGGACGACGAACTTCGAAAAGCAAAATTCTGCACCCGCGGTGAAGAAATTTTACCAGCTATCCAACACAAGTATCAACATTTGGACTTTAGGTTGAAATCATACTTTGTTGTTGCACATATATCTTCGAAGTATATCCAACTCAGTTTGCATCAAGTGGTCAAACTGGCATCACCCGGAGAAGATCCAGCGTCCATCATTATTCAGGATGAAATGATTCAAATCGATAATGTATATGATACACTCTGTAAGAGTATTATGAAGAGCATACAAGTCAATTGTCGAGTTGACTATTGTACCACGCACAAGAGTGAGGAAGATACACAATATGATTTCCAATCATCTGAGATATATAACAATGTCTATCGAAATTTAAAAGCATGTGTTGTTGAACTTGTAAGCTGGTATATTTATAACTAGCGCCTCATTTTATTAATTACTTTTTGGTAGTTCGAAAATAACAAATCAAATTTGAACGTGGATTCCGAAATACAGCTAAATATCAACACGAAATGTGGTTGCAGAATAAGCATATTTCTTCGTTATATTATTGAAGTAGGCCTTATTTCAGTGATAGAAAGTATAACAACAGATATAGTGGCTTCTTTGACCAACGAAAAGTTATTTGGAAACTATGTGCCGAATTGTATTTTTGTGTTTGGAAACCCGTTCAATCTGGGGCAGGGTTCAGAGATCCACATAGCATACACCATGATTATGCAAAAAGCGATTGATGACGGTGTATATATTAAAGAAAAAGATACAAAGATATTTGTACTAAGAGAATCTATAATCCAATTGCTGGACACGTCCTCAACTGGAAAAAATCCTTACATGTTAGAAAGGTTTGTCACTGGAACTTTGTGCCAAGTATCAAGCAATACATACATGATGCGGATTTCAAGTTCAAACGGTTTGCTCCCTTTCACCCGAATAAATAGTGATGGTGATATCAAAAATACTACTGCAGGTGATGGTAGTTATATGGTATTTATTCAGAAAGGGAAGCCCGTTTCAACAAAAGGGCTTATAATTCAAACCAAGGAAGTACCATGTTAGTTTGTTGCCATGATTGTTCTTCTTTGATTGTGCTAATGAGACCCACTTCTACTTACATATAGATATCAATTTAAAAATTTTTCAATTAGAAAGTTCACCCAGTACTGTTCCGGACAAGTATGCTCTATTGCACAGCGACACTCCTGGTTATACTTATGGAACAAACTGCTTTAATTTGTCACTTTATGGTGTTGGAACATTTGTGGTAGAATATGAGCAGATTAGCAATAATTTATCTATCAAATTATCAAGAGGATGCATCGGCGATATTAATGACTATATAGATAAACCTTATTACAAAATTCGAAATATCATCGAGCCATTGACACTTGCTTACATTTAACATATGACCGCTTCAATAAACTAACAGCCGTATCCACAATTGACTTTATAAATTACTATTTTATTTGCGTACTTTCATTGAAAAAATGCCCCCTTTTACCCAGATGCTATTGGAATACGTTTTGTGCAAGTGTATAGCGTAAGTGAGTACATTCTAACGTTTTAAATCTGAAATTGTTGGTATATATTATCCCACCTACACATATAAATCTATCTACACATAAATAACACCATCTATATTTTTATCCCTTCAAAGTTTTTGATAGAAATAAATGAAACAATTAGCGATCACGTTAGATTGTAACGATTATGTGTTGATAAGAATAAAGTGTATTCATCGTTTCCAACCTAATATGATGCACAAATGAGATATCTATTTCTTTTTTAAAACATGAGTTGAAACCCTTTTTTTTATGGAGATTTAGCTCTATCGTAGAATCGCGCTTCTGTAGTCATTTTAAAACTACATAGCACTACAATAATCAGATCAATGAAGACCAGGCAAACATGAATTTGTATGCTTTATGCCTAAGTCTTCTTAATGTTTCTCTCTCTTAGACAACACTATGATAAAAGTGTCGCGACGGCTCTAGATTAACTTGCGTTTACACCACTTCAAAAGCTAATTTCATTTTAGTACCAATCTAAAAGACAAAGGAGACTGACGACGAATGATGGCTAAAGTAGACACTATTAGCACTTTCAACTCTAAAGACTATTAAGAAGAGGGGCAACATTAAATGATAAGAGCATAATCTTTACCTTATTTCCTGATTGGCATCATTTCTGTATGTTGTGTCAATAGTGATGGATGCAGAATTGCTATCCTCACTTGGTTCATGACATTTTATCGCCTTGTTATTCCCTGATTCACATCATAATACATCAAATGACAATCCTCTTGTTTCATTACAAAGAGTCTCCAGTCATAATAATTACTCTGACATTTTTAATTTTCTGCCAAACCGATACAACAATGATAAATTGAATGGGCTTTTTTTTACCGTGGAAACATGTTTAAATTGTCAAGGTAGAGGGTAGAATGAAAATTAACCTCTAGTTTTTGGTATGTATTGTAAAACGCCACTGTCAACATACACATTGGAGACTTTTTCTTTCTTATCTAAAAAGATGTGCCTTTCTGAAAAATGGAGACTATTTTCTAACACCCACACGTATAAAGTCATCCCATCCTCCACCCCATCCAATCAAGAAAGCACCCATCAATAAAAAAAGAATGTATTTCTATTTTCAAGGACATATCACTTCAGAAAAATACAGATACTTTTTAGCCAGAGAATATAAATTACGAATCGCTCTGATAGTGTGGGCATGAATGAACCTTGATATTATTTCTTCCGAAGTATTTATCTATGAAAAATTTATAACATCAAATGACAAGAGAAAAGATTTTATTTCAATTCCATAATTCCAGTAGCACTCTAGAATGAAGTCAAGGCTTACCTCCCCCACTAGGTTTGACAATGTGAGAAGCCTTCAACTGTATAACGACAGCAAGTCGAACATGTTTATATGATTGTCCATCCTTAATGCAATTTAATTATTATTATCATCCTCACCACTGTGAATCAGATACACTTGACCGGTTTTCTTTTAAAAAAACAAATTGGATAATCACTATGCAAGTACAAAATCAAGCCTAAAACTGGCATTCCCAGCTAATTAGCATCGCCTGCGTGGAAACGGACAGGCGTTTTGTGACATCTCTAATAGTCATTATACGTAGTTATATATATATATAAAACTTTAATACTTCATAAAAAAAGGCAAGTACGTAAAGTCCAACAATGGGTGAATAGGCATGATGGGCCTCTAAAGATAATTTCTTTTTTGACATTGCCACACCCAATCATAATGTTACATTGGAGTTACACAGCATAGACCAAAGCTCCTTTACGCATTTTGTCATTGTAATTGTCAACGGATGCCGATTAGCACACGTGTATTATGGAAATCATTGTCATAACAAGCCTTTTATATTATTCCGGCCAATACCATCCTCGACACTATCTGAAAAAGTATCTTACATGGAAACGGTCCCTTGCGTATTATACCTCGAAGATCGGTGCCTATGGAGTGTGATGAATGTACTTCTGTGTCTCTACAACAGTTTCTGATATGAATAATGCTCTCTTTTGTATTTGGGCCTTTTTTTTAAACGTTAAAAAAAAAGAGGATCCATGTTTTCTTGTTCTTTTTTTCTTTTTCTTTTTTGAAAAAAAAAAAAAAAAAAAAAAAAAAAACCTGCTTGCATCAAGTGTCGATTTTGGGGGTCTTAGATAATAATGTGGGAAGCACTATCATGTCCAATGATAGCTTTAAAGAATTTGTTTAACTACACTGATATCTGGATATCTGGAACATGATTCACCATATCTGTATGGTTGATCAGCACAAGTCATAATGATAGCTTGATATTACCATGCATACCAAAATATGCTCCCTCACATTATATTCTCACATCGTATAGTACACACCCTTGTCAACTCATTTTTATTTGTTTTTTTTTGTACAGTGCATCTATTTTACAATGAACAGTTTTCGTTAAAACGGACATTTTCAGAACTTAAAAGTCGGATTTTTAGACTGGTGATTTTCATATTTTTTGACAGAGAAATCTAATTTATCGCGGGAAACAGTTTAACCGGGATATATACGTTGGATTTTTATGAATTTTTGCACTGTAAAACACCTCCCGGACATCTTTGGGTCTCCCCACTGTAAATGGCCAATTTTGTTTTGCCATCTGTAAAACATTTTGTGTGAAAAAAAAAATTCCGGCTCTATTAGTTTGTGGAGGACTCTCTAATAAAGAGTGTAATAGAGCCGGATTTTGGATACCTGTTGAATTCATCGAGGAGATAGAGTTTTTATTTTTTTTTGAAAAATCGGAGCCAAAAATTGTTCATTGTAAAATAGATGCACTGTAGCCACATCTGTATGACCTTGACATAAGCAAACAATATGAAAAGTTTATTTTACTGTCTTGCTTTCTTATAGCTTTTTTGCAGTTGTGGGGTTATTAACCGTGCTATTTCTTGCACCATTTAACAGATAAAGAATGTATAGAGAGTTTGGGTACGGTTGGATTACCATTTATGTTCAGTAGCAATTGTTTATGACGGGGTGATATCGTAATGTTTATTTAAAAAAAAAAGAAGTTAAGGTGTTTGGAAGTCATGATAAAGGTCACACGTATGATTATCCCCAAAAACATTATTATTGACTACACCCACATAATTGAATGTATCTATATATTCTTATACAATTTGGTAATATGGTAGTTAATAAAGAAGACTGAACCTTTCACTCTTTTTTTTTATGTCAATGTATGTCAATGTTTAAGGCAATAAATCAGACATTTGCTGATTTTTTTTTTTTTTTTTTTTTTTTTTTTGTCAAAAAGGGAATATGGACAATTTCGAAATGGTGTTTTTTGGGGGTATAGAGCACCAGGCTTGGGTATACTTTATTTTTTTTTATATCTATGTCTACATCTAATTCTATATCTATATCTATGTCTATCTCTACATCTATCTCTACATCTACCTCTATATCTATTTCTATGTACAAAGCACCGGGCTTGCTGTTATTTACAGGGTAAATTATGTACATGTAGCACCAGGCTTGAAAGTATTTACAGGCTTGATGGTATTTACAGGGTATCATATGTATATGTGGCACCAGGCTTGAAGGTATTTACGGGGTATAATATGTATATGTGGCACCAGGCTTGAAGGTATTTACACGGTTGCAGATATTTACAGTCTTGAAATTATGTACATAGTCTCGAAGTATTTACAGGGTTACATGTTTTTACAGTCTTGTAGTTATTTACAGTCTTGTAGTTATTTACAGTCTCGAGGATATTTACAGTCATGTGGATATTTACAGTCTTGAGCATATTTACAGTCTTGAGGATATTTACAGTCTTGAGCATATTTACAGTCTTGAGCATATTTACAATCTTGAAGTTATGTACACAGTCTTGGAGGTTTTTACAGAGTTACATATATTTACAGTCTTGAGGATATTTACAGTCTTGAAGATATGTACAATCTTGAGGATATTTACAGTCTTGAGGATATTTACAGTCTTGAGGATATTTACAGTCTTGAGAATATTTAAAATCTTGAAGTTATTTACACAGTCTTGGAGGTATTTACAGAGTTACACGCTTTTACAGTTTTGAGGATATTTGCGGTCTTGGAGATATTTACAGGCATGACAGTACTTACATGGTATATTGTGTACGCAGCACCAGAATTTGAGAATTTGAGTGTTTTGTATAGGTAAAGCTTATGAAGTAAAGAGGGCATGTTTCAAGTAAAAAAAGATATATGGTAAGTGCAAAGGGTATATGGTCTAAAGGGTATATGTTGTAAAGGGTATATGTCGTAAAGGGTATATGTTGTAAAGGGTATATGTTGTAAAGGGTATATGTTGTAAAGGGTATATGTTGTAAAGGGTATATTCTAGCACCATGCGGGGTATAGGACGAGTCTTCAGCACCAGGCGGAAAATAATGCCCTCTAATGGGCATGATCTATCAAAAAAAGTCTATGAGGAAGAAAAGAAAAGCGCAGTAACCTTGTCATTTTCGATTATATACATGATTAAAAGTTTCACATGAATTATGTTATACCCAAACTAGTGGTTTGTACTACTTTAAATTTTTGTCATAGTTAAACAAAAACAAAATATAGAAATCTCAAGAGACTTTTTCAAGAACCCACATATATAAGCGATACACTTTAATGAAGGCATAATAAAATAATAGAAGAAGGAGCTGAGAATTGTTTTTAGATTCTTCAAGGTATAATAAAAAGTATGACAATTTGTGTTGATTACAGTTTTGTCAAGAAAAGTATTTTTTTCATGTAAACAAAAAAGTAGACTAAAATAGGGGGTGAAAATAAATTTGATTACAGCATCAAAAAATGGGATTTTTTTATTTATGTCAAGGGATATAAACCGAAATATCATATCACACACTCCCTACACTTGCAAGCGCATCTATACGCCCTTCTTATCTGAAAACGTTTCTTTCACCTGTGTCCAAGTAATAAAGACTGCACTTTCTTTGACCAATCTAAAGTCATGGTGAAATGTTAATTTTTTTACAGGTATTAAAGAGAATCATTAACATTCTTGTTTTTCTTGGATGAAACAATAAACAAATGATAAGCAACTATACTCTTTTTTAACAGGTTGGGGTGATCATTGTCATCGCTCAGCCAATTATCAAACTCTTTGTGACATGGAGGAATATAGCACCAGTGAGGATCCTTTTGATAGGGTTCTACACTGTTGCAAGGTATATCTTAAAATAAGTAGAACAGAGTGTCTAAGACTTGAGGGAATAAGGTATGCATTTTGTGACTGGGAGGTTTAAAAGACCCCTCGAGATAGCTGTCCTGTACTGGAATAAAGCACAAATACTGTTTTGATCGATATGTATGTCATGTTCGTATAAATGATCACGTCTTTATATTTTGCTTATAATGGGTTGATTGACCATACCAAGATGTTCTACTTGTCATCCGTACGTTGTTGAATTTTTACCCTTTACGCTATCGTCTTATCTGAATACCATTGGATTGATTAAGGGAGTGCATAGTGTCAAGCCACCAACCAGCTGTTCTCGGAAAACGCTCTCTTTTTCATTGTATGACAAATGCGTAATCGTTTTCTAATGTATAATCCTAATGAAATATGCCTTTCTTTAAAAAACAACTCTTCGTATGTGTTGTCTTCATGTATATAAAAGTATGAAGGTCATAATAACCTTCACTATAAATGATGCATTTGAAATGCTAATGAGTTAAAAACATTTGGTGAGCATAATGGAACCTTAATCGGTACACTCCAGATGAACAAGAATGCTTGTAACTAAAAAAAAATTTAATCATATCCTTAATGATCAACTTATGTCATGTCTGTAGTAGCCAGTACGTAACAATCAAATATATGAATTTTTTCTCTGATAGCTCCGGTGATACAACCTTAAATCCGGACTCTGCTTTCGCTCAAAATGAAAGGTAACAAAAATACTTTTTGCTTTTTTTTTTTAAAAAAAAAAAGTAGTCAAAGATTGAACAGCACCTGAATTTTATTTGACCATACCTCTGGAACAGTTATTTCCAGAGGTGACTTGGTCGATAAAGCGAATCAGGATCCAGCAGGACATCAGGAAGGCGCTATATATGTACACAACATTTAGCGAGCTCAATAATTATCTCTTGAAATAGCGGAGTTTTTAAATTTCTGATAAATTTTCTGATTTTTATGCACTTTTTATGGGGGGAAAGTGTTTCTACGGCTTTTTTCCTACAATGCGTTATTTAATTCTTTTATTGAGTGTCACGCTTGTTCAGTGTGTATACCAACAGACTCCATTTAATAGTGTACAAGAGCAGCAGCAATTAGAAGAAGAACTTTACCATGCTTTTACTTCATTCTTAGACCCACAAGATCCCGACGATGCAGAAAAGAATTGCGATTCCTGTCTTTCCATGCTACGCATGACGAAGCGATTTTGCTATTTTCCTGAAAGAATTCAACTGGCAGCCATGACAAATATCTGTAAAAGAAGTAAACAAGTCGACAACCAAGTGGTATGTACATGCACCGTTTTGTTTTGATAAATTCGAAAGATATTAAACTTCTTTTTTATCAGTGTGAAGGTATTGTTCGGGAACAAGGGCCCGTCATTCGCAATGTTTTAAGAGTAAGCTGCGTTCATTGTTTTATGTTTTATGGAAGGGAGGGGGGGGGGCAGGGTTGTTAAAAAACAAAGGCTGATCCTTTTACTGTATTTGTAGACTATGGATATTTCTGGCCGTGATGGACATCTTGCATGTGCGTCTGTGCTTAATTCATGCCCTTATCCCGGTAAGTGATGTGCATCAGATTTATGCACCAGTCATTTTATATTAAAAAAGAAGGCATTTAGATGTCATCCCTTGGGATGTTCCTTTCCCAAAACCAAAACCAAGATATCCCTATACTAAAAAGCCAAGCTATCGGTCAATGAATGTGCTCCATCTTAGTGATTGGCATGTGGATCCTGAATATGAGGTACACTGATAAACACAGGTATTTTATCAGCCGCAAACTAATCATTGTAAATTAGGAGGGAACAGAAACACAGTGCAGTAAGCCCATATGTTGCAGAAAATCATCAACCGGTGATTCAGTCCTAATTAGTGCTTCAAAATGGGGAGCATATGAATGCGACTCGCCTTTAACATTGATTGAATCCATGCTAGAATACATACCCAAGGCTGTACCCAACATCACATTTGGTATTTTAACAGGTGACATCCCACCCCACGAAGTGTGGAGTACGTTACCAATTTCAAAGACACAGATGATACAAGATGCGTCATATGCACTTTTGCATGCACATTTTGATTCGCCCTTCTTCATCAACTCCAGACTCTATCCGGCTATTGGCAATCATGAGTCTGCACCCACCAATCTGTTTCCTTTGAAAGAATCTCATTTACCCGGTGGAAAATCCCGCCAGGACTTTGCCATGCATTGGCTTTACCTTGCCATGCAAGAAAACTGGAAAGGATGGATTGATAAAGTGCATTTGCCAAGTGTACACGGGAACAGTGGTAGTTATATCAGCTATCCAGTTTCAGGGTTAAAGTTAATCAGTATGAATACGAATTTTTGTTACAACTTAAATTGGTGGTTACATCAAAGTCCTGTTCAAAGGGATCCAAATGGTATACTGGCTTGGTTGATTGGTCATCTACAACAATCCGAAGATGCAAGGGAAAAAGTCTGGATAATTGGTCATACACCACCTGGTGATTCGGCTTGCTTTCATGATTATTCAAATTATTTTTATCAGATCGTGAATAGATATGCTCCCCATGTCATTGCAGCTCAATTTTATGGACATACACACAGGTAAAAGAAACATAAGAAAGGTAGTGTAGACGGTTTCTTAAGACAAATTGTATACAGGGACGAATTCCAGTTGTTTTATAAAGGCGATTCTCAAGAAGCAGAAGATGCCATCTCGGTAGCTTATATAGCTCCATCCATCACACCTTATCCTGACTTAAATCCCGGGTTCCGGTAAGTTTTGATAGTTAAAAAGTAACCCAAGTAACTAAAATAATATTTGCAGGAGCTATTCCGTTGATACTGGTAGTTTCGAAGTGATTGATTCACATACCTTTATTGCTGACTTAAATCGCTCGATTTTATGGGACCTAGAGCTGGTAAATTGAATAACCAAATTTTTTTTTTTTGATTTCTAATAATGGTGATATTTGTAGAATTGGCACAAGGAGTATTCTGCTAAAGATCTATACGAAACCTTCGATAACGAATATCAACCGTTATCTCCATCATGGTGGCATAGAGTTACACAATATATGGAACTGGATGACAAGTTATTTGACAAGTTTTGGATAAACCGATATAAACAATCGCCATTTACACCAGTGTGTGATAAGGATTGCAAAGTAAATACTATCTGCACTATGCGTGCTGGAAAATCTGAATACAGATGCGATTACGTGCCTGAATTACCAACCGGTAGACCTGTCATATTAAATTCTAAAGAGGAAGAGGCGTGTGGCATACAATTGATTAAAAAGAATTACCCTAATTAATAAAAAAACATCCAAGGGATTATATATCACGAGGAAAACAAATGTTTATAAGTCCCATCTAGTGTGCGATATCACAAAATAGAGCCGAAATTTTAAAAAAAAATAAGATGATGGTATACAGGATTTGCTCTAAAACCGATTTTGCCACTTTCCCTTATAGATCATCGATATTTTGTAGTGGCGAGGACTATATTCGGATGTGTGATGTCTGTGAAACCACCCTTCAACTTTAACTCGGTTCCCATCAAAGACATTATCTGGTCCATCTTTGTAATAAATTGTATTTTTAGTCATTCTTTTCATTGTTTTTTAAAGTGAATCATCTTTTTTTATTCATAATAAGGGTGAACGAAATCAAAAGAAAAATTTATCTAAATCCAACTTCATTTTTAGTAAAACAGCTTCACTGGACCTTATTACAGAGTGTTGGAGTTTCCCATATAAAGATCCACTCAGTAATCAACAGGAAAGCTTGTTGTTTAATGCTCCTCATCATTTATTGTGCCCTTTATTCATACACTAATCCCCCCTTACAAGTATACACTTTTTTTGAAATAAATACTAATTTTTTTTTTTATTATTACAAACAATAAAAGAAATATTGTTATTGTTGTTGTTGTTGTTGTTATTGTTGTTGTTGTTGCTGTTGTCGCTGTTGCTGTTGCTGTTAGTCCGACTTGAGACTAACCCAAGAAAAAGCCAGAGTCGTTTGGACTTGGAGCGCGTCTTGCTTGTGAAGCTTGCGCAGCTCACTTGAGATAAATAAACTGCTTTCGACATTTTCTGGACTTAAAAAGTCGAAAGCGCACTTGATCGAGTTCGAGCAGTTTAATACCTGGTGGGCACAGCCTGCTGGGATGAACACCGCGTCACCAGGATTTTGATAGACGGTGTATGGAACAACACCAAATTCGGCTTCCAAACGTACCAGATCTTGTTCGGTCAAGTAAAAGGCATGATCGAAAATTGGATGCAAATGATCACAATCTTTATACTGCCTAATATATTCTTGTAATTGGCCTATTTGATCGTGGGGAAAGATATGCCAGACCGAGGCAGCCTTGGGTTTATCCCTTGCAGTTTCATCATCGGCATAATACATGACATTGACTGCATCGGTGATGTCACAATGTAAGTTCGTCTTGCCCGTCTTGCCATGTTGGTCGCTGCCATAGGAGATGAACATCTTGGGTCCAAGATCAGGAGGCAGGTATTCTTCTGGTAATCGATTTGCCAAGTTTAAGTAACCGGAGGCGCTACAGTATTCAGGTGCCGGTACTGTTCGCATAAAATCGTCATATAAACCTGGCAGCCTGTTTTGTAAATCCTGAGTCTGTGGCCAGTCCTTCACCTTCAGAACCTCAGAGCTTCCCAGTTTCTTGCATAGTCGTTGACGACGCTTGCGGTCTGAGAAAGCATCGAAGTAATCTTTGCCATTTAACTCGAAGACGCTGTTGTCGTAATCGGTAGCTTGGATGGTATCGGTACCGCATAACGTGCTGAACATGGCAGGAGTCCACTCAAACTCACTATTGCCAGTGGAGTTGGTGACATGAATTGGACGATGCGTTTGCCAATGTTGTTGGAATAAGTCCAGGTTCAAATTGCAGGCCTCGATCTTCAAGAATTGCTGTCCATCTTGACTTGTCCTTTGCTCATCTTTAACCCCCGAAAAAAGGTGAGACAAGGAACTCGTTGATAACGAACTTTGTTGGGAAGGACTATCTTGATAAGAACCATGGTGTTCAGCAGGAGCCTCGGGTGATACTGCCTCTTGTTGAGCAGCATGGGCATTACCACTAAATGCACAATCCTCGTAATGACCGATGACTTGATATGATGCGTTTTCCTCCTTGACGAAAGGTGATAGCGGTGTATCTTCCAAGTGTTCGATATTAGCAGGGACGTGAGAAGAAGTGACTTCGTAAGGTTCAACTTTGATTGTTTGACCGAACACGTCTTGAACTTCTGGTGATTGGCCGCTGTGTGAAATTTCGTGGCGAATTTCCTCGTGGACGTTGAGAACATCGGTACTACTTACCCCCATGTAGTCATAGTGGCCGAGTTCAGAGGAGTCACGCAAGTCAGCCGAAGTAAATCGCTGGTAGTTGGGATCCACTTGTACGGATTGGTGTTCAGGAGTAGGTGACCTACTGGGAAAAAAAACAGCACAGGGTGGCTGTCCGAGCTCGAAAGTGTTGCCGTCATAGCTGGTGGGAATTCCGTACCCAGTATGTGATGGGACGTTATCTGTGTAAAAGCCAGAGTAATCCTGTTGTGCGCAATCAGGTGTGTATTCTACCTGTGGTTTGTACATAATCGAGTTGTCCTCGAACAATGAGTAATCATTGGTGGCATGATACTCAGGTTCTTGATATACAGCATCTGGTGAGAGATTGGGTTGAAACAAACTATTATCGAATGTTGATAAGTTGATTTGCACGTTATCCAGAATATCTGATCGTGTGTGCTTTTGGTAGAATGGATTCCACGGAGCAAAGTCGACACCATCGTTGACAGAGGGCATGAAATATGGACCCAAGTCAATTGAGCTCAAGGCTTCGGTAGGACGGAAGGTGGGTGAGCAGCTAGTAACGTTGGATCTGTCTGAACTGTAGAGGCTGTCTGACAGGAGTGGTGCTGATCCGATACTGTTCGAGCTAGGGGTATAACGCTGATGGGCACTGGGTGCACTATCAGAAAGGAGTGGTGAATGACCATCATGATTTGAGTGTGGTGTTGGGCCAATGGCTCTGAAAGCTGTTGTACTTTGGCTCAAGTGTGGAAAGCTGATGTCATCAGGAGCAGTAACACAGCATGGTTCCGTAACACCAACATATTGTAAATTATGGCTATCGACAAATCCAACGGATAAATTGGCGTCACCTGCCAATTGATTATTATAAAGGTCACCAGAACCTGCGGCAGCGTTTCCATATCCATACTCATACTGGCGCTTTACTTGATCACCTGTTTTTTAAAAATAAAATGGTTAATTAAAATAAAATCCAAAGATATTGGCAACATTATTATTTTACCTGTTGAGATGGTATCATGGGATGTAGTAACCATAGCAGCAGCACTTGGATCGTTCTCCTTCTTGACCTTGCGCATCAAAGATCGAGCGGCCTTAGGAATCGTGCTTTTAAGTAAAGTCGAGATGGACTTTTTAGCAAACTTTGAGAATAAGACAAATTCCGCTCGAGCATGCTTGTTGTTTGTAGACTTGGGGTGAGTATGGATTCCCTCAGTCATGTTTTGTAAATCATCGTAACATTCGATACATATTTCCATAGCACAGCTTGCGCAGACATAATGTTTGTTGAAGATGGTTGTTGAACAAGTATCGCACAGATGTCTGTAACCTTCGGTATGATCTCGTTGAACGGCCTTGTTGTTATAGTAAGAACGAGCATCCTTTTGACGTTCCAGTACTTTTCGAAGTGTCGAACGGATTTGGTTCAAGGCGTACTTCTTGGCACCTGGTGAATACGGTTTGCCGTTAAAACGAAGACTTCGGGAGCTATGTAACAAATCGTTCTTTTTGGTTTCGGGGAAGTAGGGTCCGTAAACTAAACTTCCATCGATGGTTGAGATTTCGAATCCTCTTAATCCCATGAATGAACAAGGTTGTTCCTCTGCGCAACTATTACAAATCATGTCGAATTGATTGTAGGGTGGAGAGGTGCATGGGCCAGCTTGCAGATGGATCTCGACATTGCTGCTTTTCGTAATCATTTTATAAGGTTTAGTAGAGTTACGGTTAGCTTGTTGTTTCGCCTTCATTGTCGATTAATATTTACAGTTGAAAAAAAAGGGAAGGAAAAAAAAAAAAAAGGAAAAATCTGTGACACCATTTATATACTTTGTAACAGCCAGTCATCACAGCAATAAACGATTAGGTCACTCCTTTTATTGACTGGGCAAGTTGCTTTCACACGTTGCAGTACCGTTAAAAAACGTTTTTTGGATACGACTGGTATGAAACACGTCAGCATTACCTCCCACCTAATTTATACGACATCCCCCATTAACAGGCATTGCCGATTCGACAGCTTCTCTTTTCCTAAAAAAAAAAGTCCGTCATCAGCAATTCATGATTGCCTGGAAGTAATAAAACGTCTTCAATATAAAAACAAAATAAATGTCAAGGATATTATTCAACTCTCATGATAAATGGAACCCTCATTTTTACGCTATCAAAAGATTGATGAAAACAATAGATCCAGACCACCACAAGCATATTTGTGCATAATTCAATTCAAACACTAGGGTATTTTTTTATTTTATTTTTTCACTTTCATTTCTTTGTATTCTTCACAGATTCTTTATCTTTTATTATTGAACTCTGTTCTGTTACTGGAAAAGGGAATCCTTATCCTTGAAAAGTCATATTTACTCCGATTTTGATTACAGCATGTGAGTTTACTTAATCACAACTGTCCCGATCTTGGTTTACGAATAAAAAAAAAACGGTATTTAAAACTTATGGAGGGCGTATATTAACGTTTGAACCATGTGGTTGTTTGATTGTGATTTTTAATCATGTCCAGGGAGGGGGGGGGGATTTTCACCTCTGTACCTGGTTTTGGGGCGGGAGTTTAACTTTGCATAAATTCCTTAATTCGTTTGATTTATGTGAATCCCAAAAAACAATCATTTATTTGTGACTCTTTCAATAATGTGTACTCCTAATTAGGCATATACCCCCTTATCTCCTGATTAACAGAGAACAATTAAAATGAAACACTCTACATGAGCAGTCTAGTAGAAATATGACTACAAAAACTCATCAAAATTAAAAATGGCTATTTGAAGTAGAAATAGTTCATAACGGCAGAAACTGCTTGTGAGCAATATCAGAAGTGACAAATGTTACACATAATTATAGATTAGATGAAAAAAAAAAATTATTGAGAACGAAAAATAACCTGTCTGAGAATTATGTAAGTGTGACAATAATCAAAAAGGTATTTTACTCTTTATTACACTACCATATCGGAAGCGTAGCTCGCTACAAAAAAAAATGTTTCATATGTCTGCCAAGCTTGCATCATTATTTTTTCTAAAGAGATGATTATTTCATCGATATCATAACTTTGAATTTTTTGGTTATATTATGCGGTTTTTGCAGCAAAAAAAAAAAAAAAAACGACTGGCAATGATTGCTATAGTAATTATGGGCCTGCTTAAATTCTTCATTCTTATTTTTGAGATACATTCCTGTATAATCAGACACTGGTGGAGTTTGGTAATGTCATGATCAACCTTCATGAAATAGAGAAATGCTGGCAAATCGCATGTGGCGCAATGCAGCATATGACGAGTGTCAATATCTAAAACAAGTATTTTTTTAATTTTATGAATTGTTGTTTGTTTATTTGTTATTTATTTATTTCCCACCTTTCTTGTCCAATCTTTGATAGTTCCTCCGAGTAAGTGATGTCTGTCAAAATTCATGGAATTTTCAAAGCAGTTCACTGATATTATATCGCCCTTCAATTGAGTGTTTTGAAAGTTGTAAATAATTATCGATTGATTTGCTATAAAAACCAAGGAAGCAACAGCTAATTTTTTATTCTTATTAGCGGGGGAGAATTACATCTAGGATAAAATTGAGGAATACGTTGAAAAATCAAAGGTTTCCGGCACCGGTTTAACGTTAGCTCATCATGATATTTTTATTTTTATGTATGTTAGGTGCACCGGATTTAATTATGAAACCATCAACAATGAATCATAAATCCGATCTCTATGAAAGCACCTCTTAAAACTTTTTGTTTGTCTTGTAAGAACGCCCAATTTTATTGTACAGATAGTGACAAGTCTAACCGGGTTATTGACCATTTATTATAGCTAAAATCATGGAGATTCTATCTACATATCTTTGATGCGTAACATCTGATGTAGTTTACAGATACCGACCATAATATGGATCATGTAATAGGATAACAAAAAAAAGGTAATAGGTTCAAGAGATATAAAAGAACATTTTTTATAGTCTGTTATTTGTTTTCCAAAGACTGAGAGATGACGAAAAGTCGTTCATAATCATGCATTGTAAACAAAAAGTATTTTTTTATCCTATCATTTTGAGCGAAAGCAGAGTCCGGATTTAAGGTTGTATCACCGGAGCTATCAGAAAAGAAATTTATACGTAAGATAATAACGTACTGGCTACTAAAGACATGACAGAAGTTGATCATTAAGGATATGATTAAATTTCTTTTTAGTTACAAGCATTCTTGTTCATCTAGAGTGTACCGATTAAGGTTCCATTATGCTCACCAAATGTTTTTAACTCATTAGCATTTCAAATGCATCATTTATAGTGAAGGTTATGACTTTCATACTTTTATATACATGAAGACAACACATACGAAGAGTTTTTTTTCAAAGAAAGGCATATTTCATTAGTATTAGACATTAGAAAACGATTACGCATTTGTGATACAATGAAAAAGAGAGCGTTGTCCGAGAACAGCTGGTTGGTGCCTTGACACTATGCACTCCCTTAATTAATCCAATGGTATTCAGATAAGACGATAGCGTAAAGGGTAAAAATTCAACAACGTACGGATGACAAGTAGAACATCTTGGTATGGTCAATTAACCCATTATAAGCAAAATATAAAGACGTGATCATTTATACGAACATGACATACATATCGATCAAAACAGTATTTGTGCTTTATTCCAGTACAGGACAGCTATCTCGAGGGGGCTTTTAAACCTCCCAGTTACAAAATGCATACCTTATTCCCTCAGGTTTTAGACACTCTGTCCTATTCATTTTAAGATTTAGCTTGCAAAAGTGTAAAGCCCTATCAAAGGATCCTCACTTGTGCTATATTCCTCCATGTCACAAAGAGTTTGATAATTGGCTGAGCGATGACAATGATCACCCCAACCTGTTAAAAAAGAGTATAGTTGCTTATCATTTGTTTATTGTTTCATCCAAGAATGTTAGTGATTCTCTTTAATACCTGTAAAAAAATTAACATTTCACCATGACTTTAGATTGGTCAAAGAAAGTGCAGTCTTTATTACTCGGACACAGGTGAAAGAAACGTTTCCAGATAAGAAGGGCGTATAGATGCGCTTGCAAGTGTAGGGAGTGTGTGATATGATATTTCGGTTTATATCTCTTGACATAAATAAAAAAATCCCATTTTTTGATGCTGTAATCAAATATATTTTCACCCCCTATTTTAGTCTGCTTTTTTGTTTACATAAAAAAAAAATACTTTTCTTGACAAAACTGTAATCAATACCAAATGTCTAGCTTTTTATTATATTTTGAAGAATCTAAAAAACGATTCTTAGCTCCTTTTTCCATTATTTTATTATGCCTTCATTAAAGTACATCGCTTATATATTTGGGTTCTTGAAAAGGTCTTGTAAGATTTCTATATTTTGTTTTTGTTTATGACAAAATTTAAAGTAGTACAAACCACTAGTTTGGGTATAACATATTTCATGTGAAACTTTTACTCATGTATATAATCGAAAATGACAAGGTTACTGCGCTTTTCTTTTCTTCCTCATAGACTTTTTTTGATAGATCATGCCCATTAGAGGGCATTATTTTCAGCCTGGTGCTGAAGACTCGTCCTATACCCAGCATGGTGCTAGAATATACCCTTTACACCATATACCCTTTACACCATATACCCTTTACACCATATACTCTTTACACCATATACCCTTTACAACATATACCCTTTACAACATATACCCTTTACAACATATGCCCTTTACAACATATACCCTTTACAACATATACCCTTTACACTCACCATATATCTTTTTTTACTTGAAACATGCCCTCTTTACTTCATAAGCTTTACCTATACAAAATACTCAAATTCTCAAATCCTGGTGCTGTGTACATAATAGACCACGTAAGTACTGTCATGCCTGTAAATACCTCCAAGACCACAAATATCTTCAAAACTGTAAATATGCTCAAGACTGTAAATATGCCCAAGACTGTAAATATGATCAAGACTGTATATATTCTCAAGATTGTAAATATTCTCATGACTGTAAATATACTCAAGACTGTAAATAACTACAAGACTGTAAATACATGTAACCCTGTAAATACCTCCAAGACTGTGTACATAATTTCAAGATTGTAAATATTCTCAAGACTGTAAATATCCTCAAGACTGTAAATATCTCCAGGACTGTAAATATCTCCAAGACTGTAAATATCTCCAAGACTGTATATACCTTCAAGATTGTAAATATGCTCAAGACTGTAAATATCCTCAAGACTGTATATATTCTCAAGATTGTAAATATTCTCATGACTGTAAATATCCTCAAGACTGTAAATAACTACAAGACTATAAATACATGTAATCCTGTAAATACCACCAAGACTATGTACATAACTTCAAGACTGTAAATATCTGTAACCGTGTAAATACCTTCAAGCCTGGTGCCACATATACATATTATACCCTGTAAATACCTTCAAGCCTGGTGCTACATATACATATAATACCCTGTAAATACCATCAAGCCTGTAAATACTTTCAAGCCTGGTGCTACATGTACATAATTTACCCTGTAAATAACAGCAAGCCCGGTGCTTTGTACATAGAAATAGATATAGAGGTAGATGTAGAGGTAGATGTAGAGATAGATGTAGAGATAGATGTAGAGATAGATATAGATATAGATATAGATTAGATGTAGACATAGATATAAAAAAAAATAAAGTATACCCAAGCCTGGTGCTCTATACCCCCAAAAAACACCATTTCGAAATTGTCCATATTCCCTTTTTGACAAAAAAAAAAAAAAAAAAAAAAACAAAAATCAGCAAATGTCTGATTTATTGCCTTAAACATTGACATACATTGACATAAAAAAAAAGAGTGAAAGGTTCAGTCTTCTTTATTAACTACCATATTACCAAATTGTATAAGAATATATAGATACATTCAATTATGTGGGTGTAGTCAATCATAATGTTTCTGGGGGCAATCATACGTGTGACCTTTATCATGACTTTCAAACACCTTTACTTCTTTTTTTTTAAATAAACATTACGATATCACCCCGTCATAAACAATTGCTACTGAACATAAATGGCAATCCAACTGTACCCAAACCCTCTATATATTTTTTATCTGTTATATGGTACAAGAAATAGTACGGTTAATAATCCCACAACTACAAAAAACTATAAGAAAGCCATAGACAGTCAAATAACCTTTTCATATTGTTTGCTTATGTCAAGGTCATACAGATGTGGTTACAAAAAAACACAAATAAAAATGAGTTGACAAGGGTGTGTGCTATACGATGTGAGAATATAATGTGAGGGAGCATATTTTGGTATGCATGGTAATATCAAGCTATCATTATGACTTGTGCTGATCAACCATATAGATATGGTGAATCATGTTCCAGATATCCAGATATCAGTGTAGTTAAACAAATTCTTTAAAGCTATCATTGGACATGATAGTGCTTCCCACATTATTATCTAAGACCCCCAAAATCGACACTTGATGCAAGCAGGTTTTTTTTTTTTTTTTTTTTTTTTTTTTTTTTTTTCAAAAAAGAAAAAGAAAAAAAGAACAAGAAAACATGGATCCTCTTTTTTTTTAACGTTTAAAAAAAAGGCCCAAATACAAAAGAGAGCATTATTCATATCAGAAACTGTTGTAGAGACACAGAAGTACATTCATCACACTCCATAGGCACCGATCTTCGAGGTATAATACGCAAGGGACCGTTTCCATGTAAGATACTTTTTCAGATAGTGTCGAGGATGGTATTGGCCGGAATAATATAAAAGGCTTGTTATGACAATGATTTCCATAATACACGTGTGCTAATCGGCATCCGTTGACAATTACAATGACAAAATGCGTAAAGGAGCTTTGGTCTATGCTGTGTAACTCCAATGTAACATTATGATTGGGTGTGGCAATGTCAAAAAAGAAATTATCTTTAGAGGCCCATCATGCCTATTCACCCATTGTTGGACTTTACGTACTTGCCTTTTTTTATGAAGTATTAAAGTTTTATATATATATATAACTACGTATAATGACTATTAGAGATGTCACAAAACGCCTGTCCGTTTCCACGCAGGCGATGCTAATTAGCTGGGAATGCCAGTTTTAGGCTTGATTTTGTACTTGCATAGTGATTATCCAATTTGTTTTTTTAAAAGAAAACCGGTCAAGTGTATCTGATTCACAGTGGTGAGGATGATAATAATAATTAAATTGCATTAAGGATGGACAATCATATAAACATGTTCGACTTGCTGTCGTTATACAGTTGAAGGCTTCTCACATTGTCAAACCTAGTGGGGGAGGTAAGCCTTGACTTCATTCTAGAGTGCTACTGGAATTATGGAATTGAAATAAAAACTTTTCTCTTGTCATTTGATGTTATAAATTTTTCATAGATAAATACTTCGGAAGAAATAATATCAAGGTTCATTCATGCCCACACTATCAGAGCGATTCGTAATTTATATTCTCTGGCTAAAAAGTATCTGTATTTTTCTGAAGTGATATGTCCTTGAAAATAGAAATACATTCTTTTTTTATTGATGGGTGCTTTCTTGATTGGATGGGGTGGAGGATGGGATGACTTCATACGTGTGGGTGTTAGAAAATAGTCTCCATTTTTCAGAAAGGCACATCTTTTTAGATAAGAAAGAAAAAGTCTCCCATTTATATGTTGACACTGGCGTTTTACAATACATACCAAAAACTAGAGGTTAATTTTCATTCTAGTCTCTACCTTGACAATTTAAACATGTTTCCACGGTAAAAAAAAAGGCCATTCAATTTATCATTGTTGTATCGGTTTGGCAGAAAATTAAAAATGTCAGAGTAATTATTATGACTGGAGACTCTTTGTAAAGAAACAAGAGGATTGTCATTTGATGTATTATGAAGTGAATCAGGGAATAACAAGGTGATAAAATGTCATGAACCAAGTGAGGATAGCAATTCTGCACCCATCACTATTGACACAACATACAGAAATGATGCCAATCAGGAAATAAAATAAAAATTATGCTCTTCTCATTTAATATTGCCTGTCTTCTTTCAGTATTTATAGTTGAAAGTGCTAATAGTGTCTACTTTAGCCATTATACGTCGTCAGTCTCCTTTGTCTTCTAGATTGGTACTAAAATGAAATTAGCTTTTGAAATGGTGTAAACGCAAGTTAATTTAGAGCTGTCGCGACACTTTTATCATAGTGTTGTCTAAGAGAGAGAAACTTCAAGAAGACTTAGGCATAAAGCATACAAATTCATGTTTGCCTGGTCTTCATTAATCTGATTATTGTAGTGCTATGTAGTTTTAAAATGACTACAGAAGCGCGATTCTTCGATAGAGCTAAATCTCCATAAAAAAAGGGTTTCAACTCATGTTTTAAAAAAGAAAAAGATATCTCATTCGTGCATCATATTAGGTTGGAAACGATGAATACACTTTATTTTTATCAACTCATAATCGTTACAATCTAACGTGATCGCTAATTGTTTCATTTATTTCTATCAAAAAATTTGAAGGGATAAAAATATAGATGGTGTTATTTATGTGTAGATAGATTTATATGTGTAGGTGGGATAATATATACCAACAATTTCAGATTTAAAACGTTAGAATGTACTCCCTTACGCTATACACTTGCACAAAACGTATTCCAATAGCATCTGGGTAAAAGGGGGCATTTTTTCAATGAAAGTACGCAAATAAAATAGTAATTTATAAAGTCAATTGTGGATACGGCTGTTAGTTTATTGAAGCGGTCATATGTTAAATGTAAGCAAGTGTCAATGGCTCGATGATATTTCGAATTTTGTAATAAGGTTTATCTATATAGTCATTAATATCGCCGATGCATCCTCTTGATAATTTGATAGATAAATTATTGCTAATCTGCTCATATTCTACCACAAATGTTCCAACACCATAAAGTGACAAATTAAAGCAGTTTGTTCCATAAGTATAACCAGGAGTGTCGCTGTGCAATAGAGCATACTTGTCCGGAACAGTACTGGGTGAACTTTCTAATTGAAAAATTTTTAAATTGATATCTATATGTAAGTAGAAGTGGGTCTCATTAGCACAATCAAAGAAGAACAATCATGGCAACAAACTAACATGGTACTTCCTTGGTTTGAATTATAAGCCCTTTTGTTGAAACGGGCTTCCCTTTCTGAATAAATACCATATAACTACCATCACCTGCAGTAGTATTTTTGATATCACCATCACTATTTATTCGGGTGAAAGGGAGCAAACCGTTTGAACTTGAAATCCGCATCATGTATGTATTGCTTGATACTTGGCACAAAGTTCCAGTGACAAACCTTTCTAACATGTAAGGATTTTTTCCAGTTGAGGACGTGTCCAGCAATTGGATTATAGATTCTCTTAGTACAAATATCTTTGTATCTTTTTCTTTAATATATACACCGTCATCAATCGCTTTTTGCATAATCATGGTGTATGCTATGTGGATCTCTGAACCCTGCCCCAGATTGAACGGGTTTCCAAACACAAAAATACAATTCGGCACATAGTTTCCAAATAACTTTTCGTTGGTCAAAGAAGCCACTATATCTGTTGTTATACTTTCTATCACTGAAATAAGGCCTACTTCAATAATATAACGAAGAAATATGCTTATTCTGCAACCACATTTCGTGTTGATATTTAGCTGTATTTCGGAATCCACGTTCAAATTTGATTTGTTATTTTCGAACTACCAAAAAGTAATTAATACAATGAGGCGCTAGTTATAAATATACCAACTTACAAGTTCAACAACGCATGGTTTTAAATTTCGATAGATACTGTTATATATTTCAAATGATTGGAAATTATATTGTCTATCTTTCTCACTCTTATGTGTAGTACAATACTCAACTTGACAATTGAATTGTATGCTCTTCATAATACTTTTACAAAGTGTATCATAAACATCATTGATATGTATCATTTCATCCTGAATAATGATGGACGCCGGATCTTCTCCGGGTGATGCCAGTTTGACCACTTGATGCAAACTGAGTTGAATATGCTTCGAATGTATCTGTGCAACAACAAAGTATGATTTCAACCTAAAGTCCAAATGTTGATACTTGTGTTGTAGGGCCGGTAGAATTTCCTCACCATGTGTGCAGAATTTTGCTTTTCGAAGTTCGTCGCCCTTCCTTAATATTCCACTTGCAAAGAATAATTTTTCCAGATTTGTTATTGGGCCAAATACAGTATCCAATATGTTTTTATCAATAGAGACGCCATACCAAATGTTGTTGGCTCTCCAATTCGATCCGATATTACTTTCGAATTTTTCTTCTATTTGCTTGTTGAGACAGTGCAGATATGTGAGCATAAAAAAATACATGTAACCAGGATGGCATGTAGTAAATGGCTTGATATCCGAACCACAAAATTCATCCTTCAACACAAAAAGATCGTCCATTTCAATGTTTGCCATAAGCTCTTTAAATAGGTCTGGATCTAAGGAGGCAAATAAATTCCTAATTTTCTTTAGCCGATTTTTACTTGATTTTATGGTCTCATCATTATTTGAAGTTTTTCCCTTCCGCATGTCTCGGAAAGCCCGGCTAAGTAATTTGGATGCTGGCTTCACTGATATTCTTTTAAACGTAATTCTTTTGTAACTTGAGTACACTTGAAGATAGTCACCAAAAATCTTTTCTAAACCTAATTTCAGTCTGAACATACAATCAGAATTGGCAAAGATAGGCATTTTCTTCAAGTAGTTTTACCTATTTGGTATATGTAGTACTGGTCTTTGATATATTTCTGATTGCTTGATGAAAAAATTCAACGGTTGCATATTACTATTATACGATGAAACAAAACTTAGTTTGGATTTTCTTATAAAAGATATTTTGACGCCCATCATCATTACCATTTAAAATTTTGCTTCTGTTCAACTTGTCTACCTTTATCTAGGTATGTAAAAACAGTCTGGATTTGTGTAGGCGATATGTCTGCCTGGTTTCAAAATAGGTTAGGCTAATACGAAGCCAATTTTACTATGAAATCAGTTTACCGATGTTGATGAAAGAAACAGGCTTTAAGCAACTTTTGGGTTCTTCCATTGTTGTTTCTTTGGGTAGTATAATTGGGTTTCTGTGCACGTTAAATTCTTCCATTCGGTTTTCTAAAAGCTGTTGAGTTAGCTCTTTTCGGCGAATATAACCAAAGAATTCGAATATGGGGGAATCACGATGGAGTTCCGCGGATATGTAAAATGCTTTTAGTTCCTTGAAATACTTTTTCGACCAACAATCAACTAATGAGATTAGCCCCTGAGCTAAAAATGTTTTCGGGATTTGACTTGTGTAAAAAATGTCCAATGGTCTGGGTACTATATTGCTTGTGCCTACAAGAAATTTATCTACTTCACTTCTAAAGAATTTTTCAACAAAACCAGAAAAATGTTCAAGTATGTCCTTTAAAGTGATTGATCTATTCGTCCAGCGAGATTTCAAGTCTGGCAATGGGTGATCATCTAAAACATCACTTGCTTTTCTCTGGCAAAACAAAACAAAAAAAAAGTTTTAATTATCTTCCCAATTTCATTTCCATTAACTCTTACGAAATATTTAAATCCATCGTACTTTCGACTGAGTTTTTCAAGCATGTCGTCGATAGATTCGGATAATAACGTAGTATCACAATGCTTATCCACACATGATATTAATGACAATCGTAGTTCCTTTAGTCCAAACGGGATTACAAAGTGAGCCTGTTTCAACAATTGTGGCACCAATTTTATTTGTGCTGATCTGAAAGCAGGATATTGAGCTGATACTAATTCCAAATCCACGGAGTATGTACCTTGATAATCTATTGTACAAATAACGCGCTGATCACCATATTTTATGTTTCTAGTATTATACCCGTTTCTATTTCTTTGCATGTCCTGAAACTTTAACTCCAACACTGAACAAAACACCAGCCTGCCCGGACCATCATTTTCATGGAGAAGACCAGCTTTTACAAATAGAGGCAGGAACAATTCTTCTCTTATTTCATAATCCCAACTGGATGGAAGATTCAAAGAATAATAAAAATCCATATTTACACTATTCAATTTTTGTTTATAACGCTCCAGTATTTTTTGTAAAAGGTCTATAGCTTCCTCGTACAAGAGCGCGTACAGTGCCGTATTATCGAAAGATTGTTGCTTGGATTTTAAATAAATGTCAGTGAGCTCGCTTAAGGTGTTGCGTACATAAATAACGCCTTCTTGGAGACTATTCGGATTTTCATTCGCTTCATCAGCCTTGTCACCTCTGGCAATAATATTTCTCGTGGTAGTGTCATATAAAATTGAGGGGCAGTCAAAACTTTTCTCAAAAAGGAATCTCTGTCAAAAAAATACACGTAGAAATTCTGCTGTTTTGATGTCGACTAACCTTTCAACAATGCTGTGAGATGTATTAATGGCTACCGCTCCAGAGGTGAGGATGTTATAGTCCCAATCTATACGAAGTAAGCTACGCCGTAATTTAAAAAAAATTAAGTCGCTTACCGATAAAAATACAATATCTATGCCGAGAATAGTCACAGAGTTCTTCCATCTGCTTTCTTCTACAACAGGATGTTAAAAGCGGCGAAAGCACAAATACGAGTTCACGGCGTTTCGTCTAATCGGTTTGTCTGTAGTACGAAACCTTATGTGACCATGAACTCAATGACGGAGGTAAAGCAGGCAATTAAATTTTCTATCTAACAATTACAAACATTAAAGCGCAATATTAGTTTTTGCTAGACTACTCTTCGGTGGAAAAATTTCTAGTGCCTGGTCTTTGCTATCCTTCCCCTTAAGCATATGGAAACAGATAAAAAAGGGCATTATTTACATCATACTTTTTATACACTTTATTAAACGCAAATTAACATTGACACATGCACTAACTTACCAAAAATACTTGTATCTACTTAAATTAGCATATATATTTCCCTCAATTTAGGCTATATCATGTCCGATACAATACGTTTCTTCCTCTTCCTATAAATCCGCATCCCGTTCTTAAAAATGTCGGTTTGCTTCAATACATCATCTACAGTGTATTTCCCTGCTTCCAAATACATTTATAATCAAAGACGTACTGAGCCATCTAATGATATTCATTCGGGGGATATCCACGATATGTGAAAACTCAAGCGTACGCGAGAAATTGTCGAATTGTAAAATGATGTGGGTTTTGACATTTCCAAGATTCTTCTGCAATAATAGATGTCTCATCCTCTGTGTTTTCCGCCTCCATGTCTTGTCCTTACACTTCAATAAAACCTACCTCTACAAACACAGCAAGAATAAAATCTTATCCCTTGGCTAATCTGCTAAGCACTTCACGATTCGCTAAAATACCATCGGATACAACTTCCCTTTTCTTCTTGTTGTTCATGTTATCCACAAGTGATGTAAAACCTGCTTTGGAATCGATTTTTAATTATTCGTGGTCTGCTGGTTCTGTATTACTTGCTGCTTCAGCGGATTCACGACGACGTTGAATGATTTCTTCCATGACAGAAAATTCGATTTAGCCAGGTGATTTAGCCTCTTTAATTTCGTAATCGACAGCACCTGCAACAAGAATAGGTTGCGACGGTCAAAAAAAAGTAGCAGTTTATTTTTTTATACAAGTTTTTGTCGGTGGGTTGGCGAATTGTATTACCTTGACATATTCACGAAACCAAGTTCGACTCCTTTCAAGTCCATCACCAGGTAATGCAGTAATATACACCGTGACTTTACGAGGCATTTCCTAGTTTCTTATGTGGTGAGACAATGAAGAGAGATCAAAGAAAGGAAAAAAAAAAGACTTACATGGACACCGCAAGGTCTGTCAGCGAGGAAAGAAACTCGTTGAGCAAGTCTTGTTCTGGCATCTTTGGTATAGTTTTCACTAGAATAGACAAGACCTGCAATGCCACCGGCGATACAACCAAATATTAGAAGATACATTTAATTCAAAAGGCATGACTTGTTTATGGAAGTGTTTCTTAAAAAAAAGGCCATTGTGCCCCTGGTGGGTGGGGGACGGTGAAGGTGTATTTTACAATTGAAAGTCCGCGGGTGAAACGATGGTTTAAAAATGGTATCACTTTAATGAAGCAGTGATATGTTCAATATAAGTAAGTGTCAATGGCTCGATGATATTTAACGTTTTGTAATAGGGATAATCAATATAGTCATTAATATGACTCATGCATCATCTTGATACTTTGATAGATAAATGATTGCTAATCTGCTCATATTCTACCCCAATTTTTCTGATAGTATTATATGACAAATCACTGGAGCCTATATTATAAGTCATACCAGGAGTGTCGCCGTGCAATAGAGCATTCCTGTCTGAAGCAGTACTAGTTGAACTTTCTAATTGAAGAATTCCCAAATTGATATCTATGTTTAAGTAGAAGAGGGTCTCATTAGCACAAACGATGAAGAACAATCAAGTCAACAAACTTACAGTATGGGTCATTGACTTGAATTATAAGCCCTTTTGTTGGAACTGGCTTCCGTTTCTGAATAAATACTAAATAACTACCATCCTCTTCAATCCTATTTTATGTTAATACCACCACTGTCTATTCGGATGAAAGGGCTGAATCTGTCAAGTTCAACCCGCATAACTAACATTGAATTTTGTAGTTAAGTAATGTAGGCAAGATCTTTGACGGAGTTTATTAAATGATAGTATAATAAACAGAAATAGGAGGAGATTACAATCGACAGAAAAGCAAATGTGATTATCCAGAACGGGTTCATAAGTGCTATTACTCTCAGGCTTTTACACGTATTCAATAAAAATAAGAAACAGAGGACCAGATACAATATACAATGATTAAACGAAGCTTGTTCGACAAAAGCTTAATAACCCAAAATATTTTATAACTGAAAGAACGATGATTTATTTAAGATTCAGTCCGAAAAAGATTAAAATTCAAAACTCTTCAGTCACACAGGGCAAATATACCCGTCTTCACTACTGTTATATTATGCGGTTTTTTTAGCGAAAAAAAAGCGACTGACAATGATTGCTAGTGTTTATGGGCCTACTTAAGTTATTCATTCTTATTTTTTAGGATACTTTTCCTATATAATCAGACACTGGTAGTGTTCGGTAATGTCATGATCAACCTTCATCAAATAGAGAAATGCTGTGCAACTCGCATGTGACGCAATGCAGCATATGACGAGTGTCAATATCTAAAGCAAGTATTTTTTAATTTTATGAAATGTTGTTTGTTTATTTGTTATTTATTTATTTCCCACCCTTCTTGTCCAATATTTGATAGGTCCGCCGAATAAGTGATGTTCGTCAAAATTCTATGCTTTTTCATGGAATTTTCAAAGCTGTTTACTGATATTATATCTCCCTTGAATTGAGTGTTTTGAAAGTTATAAATAATTATCGATTGATTTGCTATAAAAACTAAGGAACAGCTAATTTTTTATTCTTATTAGTGGGGAAGAATTACATCTAGAATAAAATTGAGGAATACGTTGAAAAATCAAAAGTTTCCCGGCACCGGTTTAACGTTAGCTCATCATGATATTTTTTATTTTTATGTATGTTAGGTGTACCGGATTTAATTATGAAACCATCAACGGTGAATCATAAATCCGATCTCTATGAAAGTACCTCTTAAAATTTTTTGTTTGTCTTAAAAGAACGCCCAATTTTATTGTACAGCTGTAACAAGTCTAACCGGGTTATTGGCCATTTATTATAGCTAAAAATCATGGAGATTCTATCTACATATCTTTCATGCGTAAATGTAATAGGATGTATAACATCTGATGTAGTTTACAGATAACGACCATAATATGTATAGTCTGTTATTTGTTTTCCAAAGACTGAGAGATGACGAAAAGTCAATTAAAGGTCGTTCATAATCATGCATTGTAAACAAAAATAAATTTTTTACCCTATCATTTCGAACGAAAGCAGAGTCCGGATTTAAGGTTGTATTACTGGAGCTATCAGAGAAGAAATTTATATATTTGATTGTAACGTACTGGCTACTACAGACATGACAGAAGTTGACCATTAAGGATATGATTAAATTTCTTTTTAGTTACAAGCATTCTTGTTCATCTAGAGTGTACCGATTAGGGTTCCATTATGCTCACCAAATGTTTTTAACTCATTACCATTTCCAATGCATCATTTATAGCGAAGGTTATGACCTTCATACTCTTATATACATGAAGACAGCACATACGAAGAGTTGTTTTTTAAAGAAAGGCATATGTATCAGGATTATACATTAGAAAACGAATACGCATTTGTCATACAATAAAAAAGAGAGCGTTGTCCGAGAACAGCTGGTTGGTGGCTTGACACTATGCACTCCCTTAATCAATCCAATGGTATTCAGATAAGACGATAGCGTAAAGGGTAAAAATTCAACAACGTACGGATGACAAGTAGAACATCTTGGTATGGTCAATTAACCCATTATAAGCAAAATATAAAGACGTGATCATTTATACGAACATGACATACATATCGATCAAAACAGTATTTGTGCTTTATTCCAGTACAGGACAGCTATCTCGAGGGGGCTTTTAAACCTCCCAGTCACAAAATGCATACCTTATTCCCTCAGGTTTTAGACACTCTGTCCTATTCATTTTAAGATTTAGCTTGCAAAAGTGTAAAGCCCTATCAAAGGATCCTCACTGGTGCTATATTCCTCCATGTCACAAAGAGTTTGACAAAAGATTATTATCTAGCACACCGCTAATAGGCTGAGCGATGACAATGATCACCCCAACCTGTTAAAAAAAAGTATAGTTGCTTATCATTTGTTTATTGTTTCATCCAAGAAAAACAAGAATGTTAATGATTCTCTTTAATACCTGTAAAAAAATTAACATTTCACCATGACTTTAGATTGGTCAAAGAAAGTGCAGTCTTTATTACTTGGACACAGGTGAAAGAAACGTTTACAGATAAGAAGGGCGTATAGATGCGCTTACAAGTGTAGGGAGTGTGATATGATATTTCGGTTTATATCTCTTGACATAAATAAAAAAATCCCATTTTTTGATGCTGTAATTAAATTTATTTTCACCCCCTATTTTAGTCTACTTTTTTGTTTACATAAATAAAAATACTTTTCTTGACAAAACTGTAATCAGTACAAAATGTCTTGTTTTTTATTATATTTTGAAGAATCTAAAAAACGATTCTCAGTTTCGTTTTCTATTATTTAATTATACCTTCATTAAAGTACATCGCTTATATATTTGGGTTCTTGAAAAGGTCTCGTAAGATTTCTATATTTTGTTTTGTTTATGACAAAATTTAAAGTAGTACAAACCACTAGTTTGGATATAACATAATTCATGTGAAACTTTTACTCATGTATTTAATCGAAAATGACAAGGTTACTGCGCTTTTCTTTTCTTCCTCATAGACTTTTTTTGATAGATCATGCCCATTAGAGGGCATTATTTTCAGCCTGGTGCTGAAGACTCGTCCTATACCCAGCATGGTGCTAGAATATACCCTTTACGCCATATACCCTTTACACCATATACTCTTTATAACATATGCCCTTTACAACATATACCCTTTAGAACATATACCCTTTACAACATATACCCTTTACAACATATACCCTTTACAACATATACCCTTTACAACATATACCCTTTAGACCATATACCCTTTGCACTTACCATATATCTTTTTTTACTTGAAACATGCCCTCTTTACTTCATAAGCTTTATTTATACAAAACACTCAAATTCTCAAATCCTGGTGCTGCGTACACAATATACCATGTAAGTACTGTCATGCCTGTAAATATCTCCAAGACCGCAAATATCCTCAAGACTGTAAATATGTGTAACTCTGTAAATACCTCCAAGACTGTGTACATAACTTCAAGATTGTAAATATTCCCAAGACTGTAAATATCTTCAAGACTGTAAATATCCTCATGACTGTAAATATGCTCAAGACTGTAAATAATTACAAGACTGTAAATACATGTAACCCTGTAAATACCTCCAAGACTGTGTACATAATTTCAAGATTGTAAATATTCTCAAGACTGTAAATATGCTCAAGACTGTAAATATCTCCAAGACTGTATATACCTTCAAGATTGTAAATATGCTCAAGACAGTAAATATGCTCAAGACTGTAAATATGCTCAAGACTGTAAATAAGTACAAGACTGTAAATACATGTAACCCTGTAAATACATGTAACCCTGTAAATACATGTAATCCTGTAAATACCTCCAAGACTATGAACATAACTTCAAGACTGTAAATATCTGCAACCATGTAAATACCTTCAAGCCTTGGTGCCACATATACATATTATACCCTGTAAATACCTTCAAGCCTGGTGCCACATATACATATGATACCCTGTAGATACCATCAAGCCTGTAAATACTTTCAAGCCTGGTGCTACATGTACATAATTTACCCTGTAAATAACAGCAAGCCCGGTGCTTTGTACATAGAAATAGATATAGAGGTAGATGTAGAGATAGATGTAGAGATAGACATAGATATAGATATAGATTAGATGTAGACATAGATATAAAAAAAAAATAAAGTATACCCAAGCCTGGTGCTCTATACCCCCAAAAAACACCATTTCGAAATTGTCCATATTCCCTTTTTGACAAAAAAAAAAAAAAAAAAAAAAAAAAAAAAAAAAAAATCAGCAAATGTCTGATTTATTGCCTTAAACATTGAAATAAAAAAAAAGAGTGAAAGGTTCAGTCTTCTTTATTAACTACCATATTACCAAATTGTATAAGAATATATAAATCCATTCAATTATGTGGGTGTAGTCAATCATAATGTTTTTGGGGATAATCATACGTGTGATCTTTATCATGATTTTCAAACACCTTAACTTCTTTTTTTTTAAATAAACATTACGGTATCAACCCGTCATAAACAATTGCTACTGAACATAAATGGTAATCCAACTGTACCCAAACTCTCTATACATTCTTTATCTGTTAAATGGTGCAAGAAATAGCACGGTTAATAATCCCACAACTGCAAAAAAGCTATAAGAAAGCAATAGACAGTAAAATAACCTTTTCATATTGTTTGCTTATGTCAAGGTCATACAGATGTGGTTACAAAAAAACACAAATAAAAATGAGTTGACAAGGGTGGGGACTATACGATGTAAGATTATTATGTGGGGGAGCATATTTTGGTATGCATGGTAGTATCAAGCTATCATTATGACTTGTACTGGTCAACGATATAGATATGGTGAATCATGTTCCAGATATCCAGATATCAGTGTAGTTAAACAAATTCTTTCAAGCCATCATTGGACATGATAGTGCCTCCCACATAATTATCCAAGACCCCAAAAATCGGCACTTGATGCAAGCAGGTTTTTTTTTTTCAAAAAAAAAAAAGAAAACATGGATCCTCTTTTTTTTTAATGTTTAAATAAAAGGCCCTAATACAAAAGAGAGCATTATCTATATCGGAAACTGTTGTAAAAACACAGAAGTACATTCAACACACTCCATAGGCACTGATCTTCGAGGTATAATACGCAAGGGAACGTTTCCATGTAAGACACTTTTTTCAGATAGTCTCGAGGATGGTATGGAAGGGATTGACAGGAATAATATAAAAGGCTTGTTATGACAATGATTTCCATGATACATCCGTTGCCAATTACAGTGACAAAATGCGTAAAGGAGCTTTGGTCTATACTGTGTAACTCCAATGTCACATTATGATTGGGTGTGGTAATGTGAAAAAAGAAATAATCTTCAGAGGCTCAAAGTTACCACTGTTAGGCTTTACACAATACCCTGTTTTTTATGAAGCCTTGAAGTTTTTTTTTTTTTTACATAAATACGTTTAATGACTATTATAGACGCCACAAAACGCTAGTCCGCTCGCACATAGGCCATGCTAATTAGATGGGCATGCTTGATATTGTACTTGCACAGTGATTACATAAGTTTTTTTTTTTACATTTAAAAAAAAATGGCAGCATTGCCTGGAGTTCTCCGGTTCTCGTGCTCTCTACTTGCTCATTTGGCATACATATTACTGGGTTCGCTGAGCATTTTTGTTCATGATCGTATGGATGTTGTTCGCATTGACGAGGCACCATTTTTCCCAAGATGCGCCAAGAAAGAAGCGTGGGAAGAAATTAACTCCGAAGACTAAAGAAGCATCGGCAAGCTCTTCAAAACCAACAAAGGCTGTCATTACAAGAGCCAAGCGATCTCCTGGTAAGACAAAAGAGGTAGAAAAAAACGGTCCGATGAATGCAATTTACATTGACACGGATGATGAAGTTGAAGAGACGGAGATTGCACAAGTCGAAACTACCAAGCCTGTCCAAACTCAAAAGGCATCTGATAATCAAGATAATAAGCTTAAGCGATTATTGCAAAGCAAGGACAGCCAATTGGTCCAAGTAAACTTCAGGGTAAGTTTAATTTATATCCAAAGAAAAAGAAAAAGTTCGAATCGTAACAAACCTTTTTTAATTGTAGCAATTAATCCCGGAATGGCTGGCTGCTTTTTCAGAAAAGGATAAGCAAGAGCTTGCCTTGCTCCTTCCCGAGGCTGATCAAGTCCTTAAGAACAAGAAGATTACGATTAGGCCAGACTTTGGAAAAGTGGCTACCAATCATTGTTACGAAGCTGCCGAAAAGTGGCAGGACATCTTATTCTTGGGTGGCTTCGATCCAGAAAGCAAGCCTGAAACTGTAAATGTTGAGGAAGACAGCTTCAAAGACGACAATTATGAACAGAATTGGGGCGATCGTATCAAAGAATTCAATGAGGAAAAGCGAAAGCGAGATGAGATCGATGTTGGCCGCCCAAACGTAAAGAAAGCCAAAGGAAAGGGCAAGTCCTCGTGGTAATCCACCCATGTAAACCCACGAACACACACACACACATACACACACACATACACACACACCACACACACATACACACTCACACACCACACCCCGCTCACGTTAACTGTTTCGGGGTTACTGATATAAATAAAAAAATCATTATTGCTTCAAATGTTTTGCTTTATGGTTGGACGGGGGTAATATGTTATATCTCTTTTTTAATTTTTGTTAAGTATTCAATGAGAGAAGTAGTATTGTGTTCAAAAATTTGAAGTGTTCTAGCAATATCTTGTCCATACCCAAATTATTTATCAGAGTATAAACAGCCCCTTGTTTTCACTTTGAGTATCTGAGTATACGACTGTCAGCTACGATAGGCGAAATAGATGTTAAAACAAAGAGATTTATTCCATATACATTCATATAATGTGACATGAAGATGATAGAAATAAGAACTTTACCAAACTATTATATTCGCTCCTAAACAAAAAGGCGCTCGCGAAAAGTTAGTCGAATATACGCAATATAATAAACATTATTTATACAAGGATATTACCAAGGCATCATGTGCATCAAAAAAGGAAAAAAGGTTGATATCTGCTCAGAGAACCTACGACTCCATAACTAACAAGCCTATAAAGACTTGAGAATTAGAGCAAGATACAAACTAACTCAAGAGCTATTGAATGATCCTTGGCCCCATCTCGACCACTGGCAATAAAGCAAAAGTCAAAGTAGGCTTCATAATATCGGGGCTAATCAAATGTTACTCAAGAGGAAGCGTAATGAAAATTAAGAATCGTTCTTTGGAAGAAAAAAAAAAAAAAAAAAAAAAAAAAAAAAAAGAGCAAACCAAAACCACAGCTCTCAAAATAAAATAATTTTGACATAAATACGTTTTCTACCTTTTCATTCCAAATGTAAAAATGAAGCCAACTACCACTGAAAAAATCAAAAAAAAAAACTATACTATATCTGATGTCCAAGCAAGAGATTTGAAGTTGGGAATTGCTTTAGTTGCCTAGATATCGTAAAACCTAATTACCCATATTGATCATGCAAGAGTTTGATGATCTCTTGCTTTATCATTAGAAATTGAATTTAGATCACCGTCACCACGATTTTAATGGATGCGGTTGATACGCTGAACTTGACCTTCCGGGAGGTAATTGTCTCTTTCATTACTCAAGCCAAAGTATCCATCCCTTTTTTTTTTTGACTGATGCCTGTTAACGCATCCATGAATCCTTGCATGAAAAAAATAAAATAATTTTTTTTGAACTGAGCTGGATGGACCGAATGCTTTACGATCATTAAATGATAGCAATAAGAAGATTTTTTTAAATATACATGGTAAATATATAAAAAACACACTGTTTTGGCATCGTTACTTCTAGGAAAACGATCACTGAATTTTTATAAAGAATGTTACACATCACCCTTTTATTCTTGCAAATAGTACCACAGTAGTAGATAATCCCCTATTTACTCTTTATAATCACCTGTCACTCTAGATTAATAAATCTCTACTATTGCACAATGTGATTTTGACCGGAAATTGACAGCCTTTGATTGTAAGTTGTTAATGGGAGATTATTTACTTTTTTTTTTGAACAAAATACAGACAACGTCCATAAGCCTTCGATCCATTTCTGGTGAAATTAGACCTGGAATCTGCGATGATGACCCTTCCAAACTGATATCTAGCAAGTCTCAGTCAATTGCCTCGCAATGACTATAATAAATCCATCTTTCGTTGGTCAAGGTCTGTGTTGGATTTATGATGACCACAGTTGTCCACGCGCATGATAATGTAAGTGACGTGATTCTCTCATACTCTTGATCAAGTGGGTGAAATTTCCTGGGTATCTTCGACATCCTGTTTTTGAGCCACTTATTCATTGAATCGTCAACGCACATATAGCGTCCAGGGCGCATTGTATCAGCCAGTAGGTTTTTGAAAGCCTTCAGATAGGATCGAATTTGGTATTTAGAGGATCTGTATTTGCTCTATAGCAGAAAATTTAGTCGTTCGTTATGTATAATCAATGTATATCACATATTTACCAACATAATATGTTGCTTTTTGACGAATTACAGTTCCTCATTACGGACAACAAACACATGAAATCTGGATACATCATTAGAACCAGTCCTTTCCATCAAGTCAATAAAATCAACGTGAAAGGACTACTACTCTTTCTCCAGCACGTTCTCTTGTCCTGGAAGTAAACGACCATCATAATAATCAAACACATAATCCAAGTACCATACTCAGGCCAATCCAAGTCGATCCAAGAATTTAATTGTCTTGCACAGTGATTGATAACCGGGAATTACTACACTTTGAAGGCGACCGTAATGCAAAAAATGACCGAAGATCTCAATGGAGTTTTCTCACCAAGAGAAGGGTTTATGTACTGATAGCTTGTGCCAAGGTGAGTAAAGGCGCTGGTCAATACTGATGCTTCATTCTTCTCAATTAAGATCCATCGTTTCCTCATTGCTTTCATTCTCGTTTTCAATCTGTGAAGCTGATTAAATGGCGTCGTCCAAAAGTTCAGGGGATTCGTCTGTGTTGCTTTTGTTGTAGTTGTTGTTGTCGTTGCTGTTGGTTCTGACATCTGTAGAAGTATACCTATAACAAAGACAAGTTATCGGAAGAGCAATGGACATTGAGGAGAGCATCAAAGGTCACTTTGCAGTCATTAACGCCATCTTTGTACATTCTCGTGATATTACCCTCAAAGTGTGTTCCTATGGGGCTCTGGTAAACGACAAGAAGATTAGCAGAGGCAAGGCTGTTTTACGTAAATAGTTCATTTTAGCAAATACAAGACTACCTACAACGATGTTAGGATGAACGCGAGGTATTTGTATGGAGCTAAAAAAAGCAATTGGGTAAGAAATGTAAAAGTAAAAAAAAAAAAAAACTCAAGTTATAAAATTGTTTGGGCGTGTTTCAAAATAAAAAATCGTAATTGAGTGCATAAAAGGGCCCACAGGACAGGTTACACACCACGTCAAAAGAAGACTCAATAACCTTAAATTTAGCAAGCAGGTGGACCAGGTCATATCATGTCATTGTGTCTCTTGGGCTCTTTATTCTCTGACTTGACACAGATCGAATCGAAGACACAGATTAAACGTATCTTTAATCAGTATCATATAAAAAAATTGAAGGCGCAATTCTGTGTCTTATGGATGTCAAGTCCTTAAATGTTCATTTAAACCTGAGCACATAATTTGTAAGTCCCGCTCTTCTGGGAGTAAAAATTCATAAAACTATGTTTTGCTTTCTGCAACGTAGCTGCTTATTGTAACTTTATAATCGACCAACATTATTAACAGAAGTGGTAGAAGCAGAACAAAAATTCCTCCCATAAAGACCCTTTAGAAAATAAAGTCTCAATTAGTGCAAGAAATGTAACAATGGTTGACATTATACATAATGTTGCTGAGTTGTACAAGTGTCGGAGGTGGTCTTTTTTATTCTTTTAGTGTTTCCTAAATGTCAATGTCGACATAAGGCCTTTAATGTTCTTTCCCACTTTTGTTTACCCTTTCTTCCCTTTATTTACTGCGCATGTTTGCTTTATTTGTCCGTGACTTTTGAAATTTTTGAAGGCACTGCGCAGCAAAACCGGTCACAAAACAAAAAAAAAATCGATTTTGTGTGATGGAAAAAAAGGTATATAAAGGGCACAATTTCTGCCAACTCTCAATTTTTTTTCTTTATCCAGCTTCTGTCTAGCCAGCAAAAGTGCCGTAGTTTTGTCTTGCCAGCAAATCTGCGGTGGGGTCTTTTGGGTGGCGGCGGTTCTAATCTCTTTCCTGCCTCCGGGCGTGTTTGAAACAAGCGAGAGGGTTTTTCATTGGTTGATCATTGGCCAGCAACAGATACGATCAGCAACAGGTACGCACGAGACGATACGCACGAGACGAGTAGATTACCAATGATCAATTAGTGGCGGATTCTCTCCAGAGTTTTAGCACTGGAAGGGTAGACTCATTAGACCAATGCCCCCTTTAATTTTATATTTTAAACTTTTTTTTTCTTTTTTTTTTTTTTTTTTTTTTGCATAAATAAAACTGAATTTAAAAAATTAAATATTTTTTTTTGGGGATTTTTTTTTGTATGCGGGATTTTCAAGCATTATGACTGGTATAAAACGTCGTAACGTCTAACGTCTATAATAATGTCGACAAAGTGACATTCATTCCTTTTACTTGAAAGAATCCTAGGAAGACAAAACAATCTAATTGACTACCCAGTTCAAACCTCCAAAGTATTTAATAAACCCATTTCAAACTGTCGACCTACTTTTAGAAAGAGCTCCGTCAATTAAACAACACACTCACGTAACAACAACAAGAGTGCGGTGTCAGGTAAAAAAAAAACCTGGTCTCGAACACTACATTACTCCTCCAGAAACAACTCTTACACAACAGCCAAAAGGACATGCGTCTCATTATGCAAAAGAATGCGTCCAATGAACAGAAGATTTCGACGGGTTGTTACACCTTCTCAGAAAGCAAAGAGAACCGTATCAGAGTTACAATGTGATGATTATGTCTGGTTTGTGGTCCGACGTGATCAAGTTATTCAAGGTAAATACTCCATTCCCTTTCACCCTGTGTTAAAATAGAGCTTACCAATTTCACTTTTAGCGTACAGACACACCCTTTTTTATTGTGTCCATTCAGAAAACTGGGGAATCAAGGTACTTGCGCACGAAGAACCGGGTTTTTTAATATTAATGAAAATGAAAAAAATCTTATTCATGCAAAAATCATTTCATTTATTTTGTGATGGCTTATTATCTTTCTTTCTTTTTTTGTAAGGCTTTTTTTTTACCCACTGATGCTACCCCCATTGAATTATTCGTTCTATTCTCGATAGATTCATGTGCATATCATGGCATTCTCTATGCTTTGCGTTATAATTTGAGATACAAAGGATTCACTTTTATGTTGTGTAACTAATGATCTTCTTTTAAACAACCAAATCTACTTTTAGAGCGTTTTTCACAAAATTATTATATAGACTGAGTGCTCAAGGCTATGGTTCACAACCATTTACTTGACAAATGAGAAAAAGTTGTATAATTTTCGATTCAGGTAAGGTCTGGGAGAAATTCCCTTGATGGATCGAATTGCATAGTTTGCCTTGGGGCCTTATATGAGAGAAAGCATTTACATGTATTTACGCAGTGGTATAAAACTTACGATCTGATCAGACCTATGTACAGTCCAATTCCAGCCACTTAAAATCTCATTACTTATAGGAATGAGATGCACTGTAGTATTATTTGATGAAGTTTAGCCATTGAACTAGCACACCTAACTGCTGAAAATTTAATAAAAAAGACTCCTAGTTTTTTTATCCAACCAAATTACATGCCCTCTGATGTTAGCTTCCCCTTTAACTGATTCAACTGAATCATCTCAAAGTCCCTGTGTTACTTTATGGGTTCTCTTACAACCCTTTTAATAAAGTGGCTAGTAAACATGGATAAGTGTCAATATATCATTTAAAAAATCTTGTTACTACTTTCACCATTGAATTAAAGTTGACGCAAATTCATTTTTAAAAACAATGATTGTTGAGATGAGTGTACTGCGTGTGGCGGCACTCTCTGGGAACATCGCTTAGTATCGTGTTCAGGCTGTGGTTTTTGTTAAATACCTGTAACCAAAACATACTACATTTCCCCAGGCTTACATATATGTGATGCGGAACTTGATTCACTATGTCTTTTCAAAACTATCAAAAACCCATCTCGAGGGGTTAGCTTATATTACCTATTTCTTCAACTATTAGCTAAATAAAACAAGATTTGTTGATAACTAAATCAAAAATCATGTGTATCCGCTAAATATAAACGAGCCGTATGCTTTCAAAATTGCATGTTTGTGACACTGTGATTAAAAAGGCGATCCGTATCCAACTCGTGAAGATATGACTCAAAACCATTCTTGTGAAAAACGTTGATGACTCAAAACTATTTTAACAGACTATCACGTAACACGAGGATATGTTTCTTATGGCAGGGTGAGTGAAAAAAACTGAAACCCCAATTCTCAAACCCAACTGCACAATTTCACGCTTTATGAGTCATATACCGGTTGTTCGATTTATAACTTTACTGCTTGAGTATCTTATGTATAAAGGATCTTTTTTTATCCTCTTTAACAATGAGAAGGCTAAACATGAATGGTGAAGCACTTCGTCCCTCAGAACGCCTAATTTAGCGTTATTTGCTGATATGGGTTAAACTTTCTACAGAACACTTTTTATTAAAGAAAAAAAAAGTAAATGCTACTTGTCTATGTACATTGTTCTATCAGTTGAACATTGTCTTGAAAACGTCGATCATATTTTTGAGAAAATTCGGTCTCTTTTTTGAGCCCAAACATTATGGCTGATTAAATAAATCATTCTGACATAAGCTCACTTATTTATCAGCCTACAAATAAATCTCGTTGACACACTTTTATGATTAAATAATTTTATAGGACTCGTTTACACACTCGATTTCCCCTTTTTGCTTTTCCTTTAACATACTTCTTGCACTGCCATCAAAGCCAAGTAGTAAGGTTACCAATGTTGTTCATGCTGCTGAAACTACTTTTGATGTATGCTGTACTAATTTCAAACTTTCTGACAGATATAAGCTTTTATTTTAATCATTGACTAGTCGTTTTCAACAGCGTTTGGAAAGAAATATCGTGAATACTGAGACAGTCAAAAAGACAGTACCTTGAAGGGAAGATATTAATTATGAATCTCGTTCTGCTATGTCTTCTATTTAGCGACTAGTGCATTAAAATCTTATTGAAAGAGCCAACCATGTAGTAGGATATGATAACATATGCCCGTATTAACAATAAAATACTTTGAGGCTGATTATAGAGTTTATTAAGTGTTAAAGTAGATTGAAAGATTGAGAGGGTTTCTATTCTAACTATCAGTTTGCATATTTATATATGTTAAGAGAAGTCGGATAATAAATTCAGTTTGATAGATCCGTTACACAGTACTAAAAAAATGCTTGTAGTTGGATATAAGAATTTTAGTTCGTGTTGTGATGTAATAATGTATGGGAGGATGGAAATGAGATTTAATTTTTTTTTATGGTGTGATTGATTACAATAGTAGGTGGATCACCACAGGTGATCACAAAGTAACCCCTGGCGTTGTCAAGTTCTCTGGCGAAGTAAATGATGCTACTACTCCAGAAAAAGAACGACGCGACGTGAAGAAGCTCTACAGCATGAAGATTGGTGTAATAAACGCATATCTTGCTTATGTTAAAAAAAATTGAATAAGGTTTTATGATAATCCCCTTCTCCCTCAATTCAGTATTCATATACTAATAGTTCTTAAATAGAACATACCAAGTTTTTATGAGGAGCTCGTGGTACATGAAGAAGTTAAGTTCAAGATCCAACATGCAGCCATCATTGTTCTCAGAAACATTCGACCACTTGTCACTTCAGAAATACCCAAATTGATAGAATGGAAAGAAGCCGCGACTAAACAAATCGAGCAATTTTAATCAAGTTATTCATTTATAAATGCTCAAAAAGAGACCAACGTTTTCATAAAAGTTGACAGTGGGGAAGTACTGCATACAGTTTGATTCTTGTATGCTATTTACCTACTCCAAGAAAATGACATGTGTACCTTAGTTTTAATTTCATTGACATCATGTCTGAATGGTCTATCCAACAAGTTAAACTCCGGTTGATGTCCAGACATAATTTCCTTTTAAATGTTTATATCGCGTCCCCCTTTATCCCCCCTTCCATTTTTTTTTCTCAAAAAAAGACCTTGGCCCACCCCCTCACAAATATATATATATAACAAACCATTTTACCATGAATCACCCTGTCTTTCCCACTGCTGCGGAAACAAAGAAACACTTTATCATACCTTCATCTCATTCAGACAATAATGGGATTGACCCTCCTTATTTCGATGTAAGTGGGGTTGCGTAGTTTAATTGTATAAATGACAGCTAATTTATTATTATGTGGGTATTTCTTATAGGCCGTTGTCGCTGGTGGTATCGGTGGTTCCTTAGCGGATTGTTTAATGCACAGGTAGGAGAGAGTAAAAGGAATGGACGACATGTATCAAAAAGAGAAACTTATGGTCAAAGTATAGTGTGGACACAGTGAAAACTCGTTTACAAGGTCAACCTCTGAATAGAACAACAATTAAATATCACAATATGGTTCAATCGTACAAATTAATATTCAAGGAAGAGGGCGTGTTGAGGGGTTTATATTCTGGTATTACACCAGCGATGCTTGGATCAAGTAAGTTGTGGCCCCCTTCTCATTATTCTCTCTTTTTTTAAGCTGATACACATTAAAAAAATTATATAGTTCCCGGTACTGCTCTTTATTTTGGCATCTACGAATTCACAAAACGAAATTTGACTGCCAATAGTATACCCGATGTGGTTGCACATTTAGCCGCTGGATCATTGGGTGACTTGGCAGCATCCGTCGTGTATGTACCATCCGAAGTATTAAAGACACGCATGCAACTACAGGGTCGATACAACAATCCACACTTTGTGAGTGGATATAATTATAAGGGCACTTGGCATGCCGCAAAGACTGTAAGATGGGATTCATATAAGAGAAAAATAAGAGAGAGAAAAGCATACTGATCAGATATAACAGATTGTGAGATACGATGGATTCGGTGCACTTTTTCATGGATTCAGAGCCACTATTTTACGTGATGTACCTTATTCTGCCTTACAATTTGCGTTTTACGAACAATTCAAAAAGTTTGCAAAGAACAATTTGGTGAGTCCGGGAGAAAAGCTCCCGCTGGGTATCGATTTATTAACAGGATCCTTTGCGGGTGGCATCGCAGGCGCTGTCACAACTCCATTAGACGTCGTAAAGACCTTGTTGCAAACACAACCAACCGACACAAAAAAATTAAAAGACGTGCCAACAAAACATTATAGCGGGATTATAGAAGGTTTAATTTGGAATTATAAAAATCAAGGGTTAGCGGGTCTGTTTAGAGGTATAGGACCTCGTGTGTTTTGGACAAGTCTTCAGAGTGCAATCATGTTTGTGATTTACGAACAGGTGTTGCATCTGGAAGAATCCTTGCGAGAAAAAGATGAATGGCCTCCTCAACATGTGCTGAAACAGTTTATTTTACCTTGAATAAAATAAAACCCCATTTAATGCACCTCCAATGTAAACAAGAATGGACTGAAAAAGCAATTATTACTTGTGTTTTCATGTAGCACAAACAAAATATTCTCTCTCTCTCTCGGGCATTGATGTGTGTGTGTGTGTGTGTGTGTGTGTGGATGGATGGAAAGAGTACCATCATTGGGTGGTAACTAAGAAGACAATCAATGAAAAATAAAGCAATGTATCTAGGGTTTCCATAAATAGCACTTTATGTTACAGTGCTGATCCTATTATTAATGTGAACAATCAAAGTAAGAAAAAAGAAAACAGGGAGGTCGTGAGTGAATTAATGCAAAAAAAACGACGTAAAACTATAATTGTGGCTTTTTTTGTTTTTTGTTGTTTAATGGGAACATATAAATAACCATTCCCTCATCGAATTTTTTCTTTATCTTTTTTTGCTCTTGTTCATTCTTCTTTTTACCCGCACACACACAAACACAAAGAAATGTCAATCCTCCGTAAATTTCCCATTGAAATTCACCGCTGTATATTGGAATTGCTTCCAAGAGAGACAGTCTATCAATGTATGTTTGTTTGCCACCAGCTCTCTTCATTCGCCATACCCATCTTTTATTCGACTCTCACATTGACCGGGAAACAAATTGATTTTTGGAACTCAAAATTACTCCTGTCTGAGCAAGATCAACAATTCGCGCATGGCAAATTCGTTCAAGTCTTGGTCGCTCCACCGATAGGCTTCATGTTTGGATTTGCCTACAAACATTTTCTCCAAATGTATCTAGCTGAATTACGGGTAAGCGGCGAAGAAGAGGAGGAGGAAGAGGAGAATGAAGGCTTCTTAGACGAGGAGGAGGATGAAGAAGAGGAAGAAGAGGAAGAGGATGAAGAGGAAGAAGAGGAAGAGGAAGAGGATGAAGAGGAAGAAGAGGAAGAGGAAGAGGCAGAGGTAGAGGAAGAGGAAGAGGCAGACTCATTTTTATCCATCCCTAAATTCAGTTCGGTAGCGTTTACCAAGCTATTATCGTATCTACCCAATCTAAAAACAATTGATCTTTTTAGCAACGCTTACTACGAATTTTATATTACTATATTGGCCAATTATGGCAAAGATAATTTGCGCAGATTACATGAAATCAAGAGCCATTTCCCATTTACACAAACACATTTAGCAGCATGTTACGAATATCGACAATCCATTACCCATCTCGATTTCTTTTATAAAAGTTACCATATTGGCGACTTGTTATTACCACCGGCAGACATTCTGCCGCAATTTACCTCATTAACCAGTCTCAAAGTGCTTAATTTCGAAACAGATCAAGAATTATCGATTTTTGATATCATGCAGCTATGCCCTCACCTCGTTTCACTGGAGTTTGAAAGCAATAGGTCCGGATTAAACAAAAGGACAGAAACATCTTTTTCGCAGGAAACAGATCCGTTGTTACGACTGAAAAAGTTGGGTTTAGTGATACCCATCCTTGTGCCAGCCTATGTGCGTTACATCACCTACGAATTACCCAACCTGACATCATTAACCATCAGTCTATTCAAAGTTCACTTTGTGGAATTTTTAGATGAATGTGATACCCAACTCATCGTGGCTTTCATCCACCGACTTTATCAACTGGACCATTTGCAATTAGATACAGGCATTGATCCAGCGGATCGCATCCATGGTGAGATTACACAATTTAGTGAACTTTTGGAATTCATAGAAGATATCTATCCAGAATGCTATAAATTGCTCAAGTTTTAATTAAATTAATAAACAAAAAGATTTAATTGTTTTTTTTTATTGTATATTTTTGAGCAAGGTTTTAATGATTCTTCTTCCAGCGTGTAGATTTCGTAACCGAATACGCTCATTGGGCAAATGCGCTTGGTCAGAGGATTGTCCAAACGGTATATGAATGGCAGGTGCCTCACAGAATTTCTCTAACCATCGAACGGCTGGAATAGATCCTCCTTCTCTTATATACAATGGCTTTACCTTCCATTCCTCTTCAATCGCTAATTCAGCCGCTTTGAAGTATTTACTATCGGGATTACCTAACCAATAATCTGCTGAGCTCTGGATTTTAATCTTATTTAAATTGCATGCATTAGTGAATTTAGACACACACACACAAACACTTTGTCATATATATACTTTACAGAAATTCGGTTGTCGGACTTCAATCGCTCGAATATCTTACGCACGTACATCTTGAACGCATCACAAATCTCGGTAATACCTTGGTTTGGCACAATACGCATACTCACGGCAGAAGTTGCATAATGCGATATGATGGTAGGGTTAATGATAGGCACGTCAATCTTGTGCACAGTTAACGTAGGATAACGCCATCTTGACATCAATTGGTTTTTAATCTGCTCGCAGGTCTGATCATTATTGCCACTACTACTGACGGACTCATCGTCGCTGCCACCACTATTACTGCCTTCGTATCTTGAATTTGCTTCGGACGACATGGACGGAGTTGTGATGCACGAATGTTGGGATCTACTTTTGGACATCGGTTGAGATTTGGATCTGCGTTAAGAAAAAAAAAGTTAGTTTTTACCTATGTAGATACGTGTGTGTACATGTGTGTCGTACTTACGATTTAAGCCATGATATGATGGGGTCATACAATTTTTCTTCTGCTTCAGATACAGGTAACACGTCATCATAAAACTCTGAGAATGATACATAGGAAAGATGAATAAATAGGAATCATGTTTATGACGGGTAATGTGTGTGTGTTGGGGGGTGTACCTGGAATTAAAACTTTTTTATCATCATCCACCAGTTTTCCTAAAACATGGATCAAATCAATCAAAGGCTCTGATACAGCCCCTCCTTCTACACCTGAATGTAAATCAGCTAAAGGGCTTGTTACCTAGAACAGTAAACTATTTTGATGAGTGTACATCATTTTAAGCCATGCGTAATTAAACGTTACCGTGACACTAGCATGTATAACACCCCGTAGTCCATAGGTTATACAAGGAACATCTTCTCCGAGCCAATACGAGTTACTTTAGAGGAAATTTCTGTATTAGGAAAAGCTTGCGTGGGGGGGGTGAATATAACATCCATGTTACCTTAGTATAATCAAGTCAATGTTCTCAAACAGGTTCTATTTGTGTGTCAAAACACTTTTTTTTTAATATGTCTCTATTTAAATCTTCTTTTTTTTTTTACCTGATGTTTAGCGAGTGCCTCCAGAAACCCATGACTTCCAGATTCTTCTTCGCCTTCGATAAGAAAAATAACATTTACATTTAAAAGGCCTTCTTTTAACAGCTCATGTACGGCAAACACTGAAGCAAGTATCGGACCCTGCGTGTCACCCAAACTATTTAGTATTTATATAAAGCACCAAAATATATATTTACTTTGTTGTCACTGGTGCCTCTGCCATAAAGGTATCCATTCAACCCCGATAACTTGAATGGATCTTGAAGCCATTCATTCTTTTCATTTTCGGCGGCAATCACATCATAATGGCCATAAAATAAAACGGTCGGTACTTGTTGGTCCTTTGATTTATTTCGAAATTGAGTTGAATTGGCAGAGAATTTCGCATAAATCAATGGGTTTCTTCCTGTCGCACCAGGAATCTGCCAAAAAAGAAAAAAAAATGATGAATACATTAGAATACATTAGACCGCCTTAAAAATCAAAAAAATAATTACCAACTGGCTTTTGGCACCTAATTGCTGCAAGATATTTTTGAAAAACCGGGCACCTCTTCGACATTCTTCTAGATACTGTGGATTGCCACTGACAGTACGTATCGCCACCCATTTCTCCAAAACATACAAGAGTAAATCTGAAGAAAAAGCATGTCAGTTTATATTTTGACGTATGCATCCTTTTTTTTTTTGTCTCTCTACCACACGACGAGCAGTCATCTTTCCCGTTATTGTTTCTTCGAAACTGTTCCGGACTCGAAACAACTTTGGATGACGGTACATCCCAGATCTAGCATTTTCAATTCTTTTTTTAAATAAGGTAGCTCAAGAAATAAATATGGGTCACACAAATTATGTATGTTTACCTTGATAGAGTGGTCACTGCTTCCAGTGATAAGATAGTCGTTGGACTTGGCCATCGATAGAATAATGCCGCTGTGATCATCTACTAATTCTGTAAGGTCAAAACAGTCGTTCCAAAACTAAGAAAAAGAGTGGTTAAAAGTACATATTTTTGGTCAAATTAGGAAATAGACTTTTTACCTTGATGATCCCATCAGCGGATGCACTGATAAATCCAGAATCATGAGCCATAACTGACAGCACATCATCCTATAAGAGTTTAATTTAGCCAATGTTACCTTACGAAAAAAAAAAAATATAAAAAAAAATTTACCGAGTGGGCAACCACAGATCGTATTAATTGATACTATAAAAGGAGAAGCCGTATTTATTAGTGTCTAAAATTTATTTGGTACAAATTTGTTCTTATTACCGTTTCAAGGTCCCAAATCTGTGAAAAAAAGCAAGTATTGCATCAGTTAGAATAAAGATGAGTCTATCGTCTATTTTATTTATACCTGAACATGTCCACCTTGTACACCACAGAATAAATAACCATCATCTGAAATGGTTAGGCTTAAAATGCCTCTGTCTGGGTCACCACCTGTCAGTGTTTGATAATGTGTTACGGTTTTGTTTTGAATCGTCCAAATCTAGTATTGATTTTGAAAAGGGCTTTTTAGATTGTTATATTTATTCAATGACTTTTTTTCCTTTACCTTTATATTGCCATCACCCGAGCCAGTGATTAGGACCTCGCCTTCGACATTGGGTATATTATTCGAACTGGCCATACAATAGACGTAACCGTCATGTGCGTTTGAACGGACCTGGTTTGTCTTTATGACACATTGGACCAAATCGTCTTCCTCTTTAAACAGGTAGTCATGATGCTGTTTAGCGTCCAAGCCTAAATCATGAAACAGTTTAAAGAATTGCGTCTTTTGCGTATGGCTTGATTCCTGCGTGATAGCAACGGAATGACCGTCCTGCTGTTGATGGTCAAAATCGTACCATTGAATACTGGTGTTTTGACAACCAAAGAACAACAAGTGTGATTTTTCCGTGTAAACGATCGAAAAAATGTCTCCCACGTCGTGGCAAGATCGTATAATGTGTGAGCATTTGAGACGACCAATGTCCCATACTCGTACCGTACCATCACCTAAAGAGATGGATTAATTCATCATTTGGTAAAGAAGAAAAAAAAAGGGGGGAGGGGACATGCTTACCTGAACAACTAAATAACCATTGTTGATCGTCCGATAATGTCAGACCCAACACGCTTCCACAATGGCCTTCAAATACAGTGACAAGTTGAAATGTAGCTAAATCCCACACCTGAAGTTTGTCCGCCCCCAAAAAAAGTTAATTGTTATGCTTTTGAAGGTCTCTTTTTGAAATAATTTTACATGAATCTTTGATCCTTGACTGCCAGAAAATACATATTTTTCGCTTGTGGCCAAAGATAACACGGAATTCTTATCTTCCTGTGTAATGGTATGAATACAACGAGTGTCTAGTTTTTGTTCTAGTTTCTTTGAAATGTTGTCTCCTAATGGAAAAGGTTAAAACTCATTCATGGCATGCCATGTTCCCTCCCTTCATTCATTTTACCAATAGAACTATTTGGACGAGAAATCGGTGAGCGTACATTACTTGGTGATCGAGGTGGCGACACGGTCATTTTTAAATATGGAAAAAGAAAGAAAGAGAAAAGAAAGAAAGAAATGAGGGGTTGTTTAGTAAAAGAGAAAAAAAAAAAAGAATGCTATCATGATCAAACCCACCCCCTTTATTTTGTCACGTCATACAAAGGGTGGTTTAGGTGATTCATGTTTATGTGAGCGATCCAACTTTAATTTGTCAATAAATGGATAATCACAGGCACTTGTCTATTATGCTCATGTGTCATCACAATAATGTATTTGGTGATACATTTCACTTTGCACAATTCTAAAAAAAAAAAAAAAAAAAAAAAAAAAAAAATGATTTTCATGCAAGCGTGGTTTTTCCAAAAGTGGAATGAACAGAGATAAACCTTTTGCGCAAGAAAAAAAAAAAGGCTGGTTTTTAAAACATGTAAGTCCTCTTTACACCCCAATTTATACGTTTGATCATACTTTTCCTTGTTAGTTGGAGAGTAGATCACAGTCAAAGAAGATGTTCAAATAGTTTGATTTATTCAGCCAATAGGTAATTAGAAACCCATTCCAACAAGAAATAACTAGTTCGACAGAGTTACTTGAAACGACAAAAACTTATTTTTGGAACGATACACATTCAAATGGATGATATATGCATATTTTCTATCTCGTTCATTGTCATATTCCAAATACAGTTCGGGTTCTTTTTCCAACGTTGCTTGGAGACATACAGTGTCCTCCAAGATAAACGTATCATTTTGCAACTCCGCGTCGTTTTCTTCAAAGGACCTCCTCCTCCCGAAGCAAGAACGCTTTAATTTGTTAAATTTTTTATTTTTCAAAATAAAGATCTTTACAATGCCCAATTAAATCCCACTCAAAAAGATTATGAAATCGCGAAAAAGAATGGAGGCGTAACTACTGCCAAAATTGCTCGCGAATTGAATTTTATCCTTGCTGCAATGAAGCGTGCGATAGAACATTATGAAAAAAGGTTCATTCGAGAGAAAAAAAGGCACTGGCAGACGTACGATCTTTACCGACAGAGACAGACGAGTCTTTAAAATACTATGTGATCACATATAGACGAAGTACTCTTGCCAAGATCATGGCTAATGTGGCGGTTAACGCGTTTAGAAAAGAGCTTCACCGCCACAACTTGAGATGCTGTATCGCGAAGAAAAAAACCTTTTGTGAACGAGCGATAGAGGAAAAGGCGTCTTCGGTTTCCTAGGGAACACATTAGTTGGACATTGGAAGACTGGCATCGAGTTATCTGGACAGATGAATGCAGCTTCCAAACTTGCAGTTTGTCTTGTCCTATCAGAATTCGACATGGCCCAAAGGAACGTTTGCTTCTTAGTTATTTAGCACCAACTTTCAAGAGTAGAAGGTCGTCGTTGTCTATTTGGGGAGGGAGGGGGGAATCACGTATAACCGTCGATCCAACTTGTTTTTCTCAATAAAGGCCAGCGATCCAGCAACAACTTCATGAACCAGGTTTTATGAACCTGTGTTGTTGAATTTTTACAGCAGCTGCAGCACACCAGTATGGATGGAGGATAATGCTCCAATTCATACTGCAAAAGTTGCTCGTGAATGGAAAGACAGCCACAAAATTGTTCGATTGAATTGGCCACCCCAATCACCAGATTTGAATCCGATCGAGAATCTTTGGATGCTCCTGAAACGGGCTAAAGAAAGACGTTTTGAGTTTGTTCGAAACATCGAATCGTTGAAGATTCTTATAGAATTTGAATGGAATTCAATGCGTATCGAAAAAGATCAATAAGTGAATCGATTCAATGCCTAAACGGATAAAGGTTGTGATCAGGAGTAAAGGATACCCTATCGATTATTGATTAAATAAAAAAAATGGAATTTTTTTTTTGTTCAAAACTGTATCAACACATTTAGTAAAAGCTCCTAATAAATTCAATATACACATCACTAACTTTGAATATGTGAATGTCGAGTGAGTCCTTTTAGTTATGTTAATCGTACATCCGTGATGTATCGCGGAATTACAAAATGATACTTTTCTCACTATCGAAGTATGTGGTTATTCCGGCAGTGTGAGAGCCATAAATACATGTTAATTTATGATTTTTATTAAATTTTAAGTGGTAAACATACTCGAACTGAAATCGCTTAAGATCATTAGATAAATTATCAACCATGGTGCACGTCCCAGAACTTAAATGCTCATCAAATTGTGGCTGAATTTTCCACACATCGTAAACTAATACAGAGACAAATGTGCCACTTTAATGCTGAACGGCGACAGAAATTTAGTAAACTACTATAAATTACACTATTATTTCATTCAACTGTTCTTCTGATAAATATTTTTCAGCATGATTTCGAAAAGTTTTATTTGATAAATTGATGCATTTTGACTTAGCCAGATTTTCGAGTTTATCATATTCCAATTTATCAAATGATTCTTGCTCCATATCCTTATCTTCCTGGCCTTTTTCCTAGTTTTCATCTTGGAGCGCTTGAGTTGATCTTTGCATCATTTCCCTTTCTTCCTGAAGTTTTTCCTTGTCAACATCATCATCTTGGGAAGCAGAGAACACGGTCTTGAATATTTAAAGGGTGGAAACTCTAAATTCATGCATGGCACCTCTGTATAATATATCTATATGAAAATATCCATATAGATCTTAACAGAAAGAAAATATTATTGCAGTCATGCTTACCGTTGCTTTAGCTTCTTCAATGATTCGTTTAAAGGAGGTGTCCACAGTAGCAGGTCTACGTGATACTAAGTAAAAACTATAAAGTAAAACGAAACAAGATACATTTGCTGTAGTTTTTGTCCTGGCCTTCTGGAATACAGTTGTTTTAAGCTACAACTCAATTTCTTTGTAAAGTCAATGCTGATTCAGCCTCCAAGTGCACCGAGATAGATACAACCGAATTTCGCTCCTTTCGAATAAAATGGCTAAAGGAAGGCCATGACACACGAAGGTGACATATTGTTTTAAGAGTTCTGTTAGGACATCTTTTTCTAATTTCAGAAAAAAGGGATTTGTTTCAGTTAAGCAATATCCAGACCAGTCAGAGCCATGGCTGGGGACCACTTGGGAATACTGGTTCCTCGATACATTCAATGGTGTCACAGTTAAGTCAAATCAAGAGATTTGATTCGCCCGATACAACTCCGTTAACTCGAAATAGAGAGATTTGATTGGATCAAAAGTATCTACGTCAGTTTTTTTGTTTTGCTCTTAAAAAATTACTACGGACCGCGTAGACTTTTTCCATCAATCTCTTTTGCTTCAAAGTGATGAAAACTAGTAAGGGCGCGTTGTATATATTTTATGCAAATGTTCAGAATCAGAAATAGGGTACATATAAATTATTTATTGAGAGTGCAACTCTCAATGTGTATAAAAACATGTCCATTAATTTGTTAACTCACAATTCTCACACCATGAACAATAAAGTCTACGTTGGTGAATTCAGTCGGTGAAGTCAGTCGGCGAAATTAATCCTTGAAGCAATGCAGAAGCAAGTGTCCGAGCGAGTGCGAAAGCCAGTGCCCAAACGAGTGTTGAAGCAAGTGCAACGCCAGTGCGTACGCGAGTGCAAAGCCAGTGCCCAAACGAGTGTTGAGGTGAGTGCAACGCCAGCGCCCAACGAGTGTTGAAGTGAGTGCACCGCCAGTGCCCAAACGAGTGTTGAAGTGAGTGTATTGCCAGTGCCCAAGCGAGTGTTGAGGTGAGTGCACCGCCAGTGCCCAAACGAGTGTTGAAGTGAGTGTATTGCCAGTGCCCAAGCGAGTGTTAAGGTGAGTGCACCGCCAGTGCCCAAACGAGTGTTGAAGTGAGTGCAACGCCAGTGCGAAAGCCTGTGCAACGCCAGTGCCCAAACGAGTGTTGAAGTGAGTGCAACGCCAGTGCCTAGCGAGTGCTGAAGTGAGTGCAACGCCAGTACAACGAGTGTTGAAGTGAGTGCAACGCCAGTGCCTAGCGAGTGCTGAAGTGAGTGCAACGCCAGTACAACGAGTGTTGAAGCGAGTGCAACGCCAGTGCCCAAGCGAGTGTTGAGGTGAGTGCAACGCCAGTGCCAAAACGAGTGTTTAAGCGAGTGCAACGCCAGTGCGTAAGCCAGTGCAACGCCAGTGCCCAAACGAGTGTTGAAGTGAGTGCAGAGCCAGTGCCCAAACGAGTGTTGAAGTGAGTGCAAGCTTAGTCCGTAAGTGAGGGTGGAAGCGAGCGGACAGCCAGTGTGGAAGCCAGTGTGGAAGCCAGTGCTGAAGCCAGTGCTGAAGCCAGTGTGGAAGCCAGTGCAGAGGTCATTGTTGAAGCCAGTTTATATGATTCATTTGGTGCTTCGTCTACCTGTTTGATTAAATTTATTTACTCATTATTTTAATAATTGAAGATACCAAATCAAATAAATACCAAAGCAATTTAATTTATATTGTAAATAATGGACTATCTCATATTTGATATTTCAATATTTTTGACTTGTTTCCATGTTCTTTGCGATAACAGAGTAAAATTTATGTAGTCCCTGGAACAGCTCTATTTCGCGTTATATGGATCGACAGCTTACTTCAACTACGTCGCGTCTGAAGTCTTAAATACAAGACTTCAATTACGAGGCAGGTACAACAATCCACATTTCATTAGTGGATACAATAAAAAACATATGGTAAATCGTCCTCCTACACGTAACCCACCTTTTATCTTTTCTAACACATTTACATAAGCCGTAAAATACGATGGTTTTGGTGTATCACTTCATGGTTTTATAGTACTTAATTGTTAAAGAATGTTTTTGAGGAAACGTGTACACCTTCTGCATCCTTCCATATATTTGGGTTTCAACTGACTATAGACACATTGGAATCTAATTCTCTAGAACATACAACATGGTAATTGTAATTAGAGATATCCATGGTACTCTATAGTACATGAATGATATTTCAATTTGTCTTTTTTCCTTCGGATGAGGGTGCATCTTGTAATCTTCTGAAGGGCTCAAAAGAAGTACTTGTGAAACAACAATTTGATTGAATCATTATTACTGTCAGAGATCAAAAAATTACAAGACGTTTTTATCTGAAGAAGTAAACCACTTAATTAATTTATTATGCCTTGTCTACTTCATAGAACCATATCTTCATCTTGAGTACAAACCTTTAATCTTGTAAAAGGGCTTTAATTTCCTCGTTGTTACTGCAAAGCTTTCACTAGATGTCTGATAATAACCATTTTGAAGCAGGTACTGTGATTTTATCACTATGTAGGAATGAGACAAATACTTGTTTCAAGGACTCTTTTATAACTTATTTTCAAATATTCACTTTCATAAATATTGACTAGGAATTCAACTATAAATTTTCTTACCTGGCCTACACATATTAGCAGTGGTATCAGGTATCTCAATGACCAACATGATTCTATTAGACACGAACATGTTGCCCGCTGGGTGATATAACATTGTCACCATATTCACGAGCCTTTTGGAAGAATACTTTTCAATTGTATAGCAAGAACATCTCTATAATTCCTACATCGTTTCATGCCTCATCACTTAGATAGTTCATATCGAACATGAAAATATCGACCAAGAAAAGTAGAAGGATGCTATTGGCTGGAAATTTATTTGACAATTTGATACACTTAAACTACAACCTTTCTCCCGAGAGCCAAAGAAAGAAAAAGAGAATTGTGCGAAATAAAGCATTGGGTTGTATTTTATCAGGTTTTTGGAAGAGGTACAAAAAGATCTTGCCCAAAAGAGAGATAAAATATATTGATTATGCCGCGTCGAATCAAGTAAGTCGATCCAACAACGTGCCTTCCGTGTTATGTTACACTCTGACTGACAAAAAAAAAAGAAAAGACAGGGACACTTTTTTTGTTTATTGACACTGCCGGTGTCTCTTCCAGATGAAGTGTTATGTTTTTCTTCTTTTTTCTGTTATTAGCGACTAGTACGAAATCACTGGACAAAAAGCATCAAGGACGATGATTTTTTTTTTTTTTGGTCCTATTTTCGGAAAATGAGTCTCCGCCACGCTTTTAAAATTCAGCGCATCTTTTTCCACCCAAAAAGAAAAAAAAAAGATGTAAGAAAAACCTTTTTTCTTTCTTTTTCATTTTTTTTTTTATAGACATAAAATATGAAGTTTGGCTCACAGTTAAAAGACGCTATTTATCCTGAATGGACACCATTTTACATTGACTATGATGGATTAAAAAAGAGATTAAGAAAGGCCGAAAAGGAAAGACCGTTTACTGAAAAAGATGAAACAGAGTTTGTCGAGTTACTGGATAACAATCTTGAAAAGGTATGTATAAACAAAACAAAAACCGAAAGGAAAAAAAAAGGAAAGCGTGTGCTAAGACACACACAAAAAGGTATTTGCTTTCCACCAAGAGAAAATGGATGAAATCAAAAAGAAGATCGATGAATATGATGAGATGATCAAGAGTCAGATTCCTGGTCAAGACAGTGCAGCGGAAATGGCATCCATCCAAGAAAATATTAATTGGATTGCGGACGACATCATACGTCTCGCTCTTTATTCCCGTATTAATTATACCGGCTTTCTGAAAATCGTAAAGAAGCATGATCGTCATACCGAGTATGTCCTTCGACCCATGTTTATGGTTCGATTGAACCAATGTCCCTTTTGGAATGAAGACAATGATACCCTCTTGATCAAACTATCCCAACTCTTTTCTAAAGTAAGAGACGGTGGCATGACCATGTCTTTCAAACCAGCCTCTCAACCTTTCTTGAATGACGATAACATGGACTTACAACAAAACAAAGATGCACGTCGCCTCGTTGTCAAGCGATTCTTTGTTCAAACCGAAAATGTACTCGAATTAAAAACATATGTGCTACGTCATCTTCCTGTACTCGTTTACCGCGACAACTCCAAGAAACAAGACAACATCGATCCTCCCATCTCATCCGTCTATTTGGACGATGCTGAGTTGGAATCCTACAATTCTCGCGTCGAAGGTGCTGAGGGTGCTCAACTGATCCGTTTGCGTTGGTACGGCAGTGCTAAGGGAAACAGCACCATTGGCTTTGAACGTAGAACATTGGCTGAAGAAAACCGTGGTGAGTTAAAGGACCGTTTCACAATCAAGGACAAATATGTCGCAGGTTTCCTCAAGGGGGATCAAACCTTTGTTGAAAAGTCCGTCAGAAAGATGAGAAACAGTGGTCGATCCGAACAAGAGGTGGATAAGTATGAGAATCTGATTAAACAGGTTCAAAAGACCATTGTCGAGAAAAACATGCAGCCAGGTAAAAAAAAAAAAAAAAGAGGGCTTACTGAGAGAAATAATATCTTTGTGTGTGTGTGTCTAACAAAACCCTTTATTAGTGTTACGTACCTATTATCGTAGAACGGCTTTCCAAATTCCGGGTGATCAAAGTGTAAGAATGGCACTTGATACAGACTTGTGCTTTATCCGTGAAGATTCACAACTTTTCTCGGATGATCAAACCATCCGTCGTCCTACAGACACTTGGCGTAGACCCGATGCTGACTCGGATTTCCCCTTTGACAACCTCAAGAACGAAACAGATATCAACAGATATCCTTTTGCCACCTTTGAAATCAAACTCGAATTAGCCCCCAATGAAAGAGAACCCGAATGGATTGTGGATTTGGAAGAAAGCGGTATTCTGGAAGAGGCCTTTGATTTCTCCAAATTCGTACATGGTATCGCCGTCATCTTTGACACACGTGTACCTCTCTTACCTTATTGGTTGGCCCAAATGGACAATGATATCCAACAATTACCCATCTTACCTTCCACTGCTCCTTCTGTCAGCCAAAAGAACTTTAAGAGTAAAGCTGCCAGTGAAGTCCAGCATGCTCACTCCGACACTAGTAGCAGCCGTCAACGCGCATTAGCTTCAGCCAATGAACGTTCTTCTTTGCTCGGCAGTGGTTCTCAATCCTATGGCAGTCGTCCATTAGCCACTGTCAAAGAAGACGATACCCAGCTGGAAGAAGAGGAGAGTACACCTTCCAAGATGATCAACAGCATCAGTTCCATTTTCGACAACTTTATGGGCAAGCCTGCTATGGCCACTACCAAGTCTCGAGGAAATGATGTACCAGTCATTTTACCACCCGGTGTCAAGATTCCCAAAAAGATCATTACACCGCTTCGTGTTGAACCCAAAGTTTTCTTCGCCAACGAACGTACCTATTTTGCTTGGATGTCATTCGGTACACTGATCTCGACCTTTTCTTTGGCTTTATTCAACGCTGGTGATTCGGTTGGCAAATTAAGTGGTATTGTCTACTCGCTTGTGTCCGTTTCCACATTGTTATATGGTATGGGTCTTTATTACCGTCGTCGTGAATTGATCCATAACCGTGCTGCAGGTCCCTATGATGAATTAGTTGGCCCTACCGTCATTTGCTTCTCGCTCCTGTTTGCCGTCGGATTAAATGCCTATCTTAAATTCACTGTAAAGAACCCTTCCTTATTATACTTGTAAAATGTATCATTCATACCTATCCCCCAAACCACCATCACCACCACCACTTAATAACAACAACAATAATACACACACACACACACGAAAAAAGAAGTTGTATTACTATTTAATAAATAAAAAAGAAAAAAAAAGTAGTTTGCATATTTATAAATGGGGAAAAGAAAAAATGCATGCAGTTAATTTATGTACGATGTATATATCTATATATATACTTATTTTTCTAATCCAGTAGAAAAATCCAGCTTGATGAGAGCAAGTAAAATGTTTTGCAAGACATGAACCATGACGAGCACAAATCCAATGATCATTTCTGGATATCTTTCAAATTCAGATATAGCCTGTTGTGTAATGGAGAAATCAAAGGCCCTTTTAAAAGTCAGCCTCGTGATGAACGCGCTGGTCAGTTCACTGGTCCATATCACCAAAGCCGCAATCACCGTCAAGTTATGGTTATAGGGGCTACCGTCCTGATCATCCATATGGAAATAAGGATAAGCGGCTCGATTGGGACCGAAATGTAAAATATTCACCCAGCAAAGAAATCCCAGCATCGTCGTGTTCTCCGCCAAGTTACGAAGGTAGAAGGATCGCCCAATCTTTTCTCGATACTCCTTGTACGTCAACCGAACCCCGATAAATTTCACAAGGAAGCCATGCACTTGCGTTGTCATAGCAAGGGGGTAATAGATACAGACCCATAGGAACGAGGCCAACTGAACAATGGCAAATTGATCCACCGATCGAAGTCTGGCAAACAAATTTCGATAAAAGATGAAATAAATCATGAAAAAGTAGAGCTTGAATATGCTGGCTAAAGGATGTGACCGAATTTTGCGGTACAGAATATAATCTGTAATGGCATCCATGATATAGATGGCGGCGACCCAACTGTAGACATAAAAGAACGCTTCCAGCGGGGTATGAGGCAAAGTGGCCAGAAAGAAATAGGCATACATTTCACCACCGATCAAGGCCACGAGCGCGACCGCCAAGGCTGTACAGAACCACAAGAATCTGCGATAGGAAGCCGGTGCTCGTAATTTAGGTAGTTCAGTCGGAATCCATCGGATAGAGGGCTTGGGATCAGCCGTCGGCACATTATTCTCGTCTGCTAGTAAAACACCAATCGCACCGCGATGTCGACGGTCCATTCGCTTTCGATGGATAATGAGCAATGCGTTTACTAAAGGCATAGCCATGGTTAAAAATGTAAGGCAAACCCAAAATATCGACTGATTGTGTACCATGGGGATGTAATAAAAAACCACGCCAATGGATTGACTAACCAGCCAAAATAAGGCAAACGTCACTTTGGCTCCTAATCGTTTTGGGTACCACTATTCGAATAAAAATTACAGTTTAGTGTCCGTGGTACAAAACGCAAAATGTAAGAAAAAAAAAAAGGGAAACTTACATTTAAAGCATAAATGCTGAATAATTTGGTAATAAGAAATAATGCCAGTGCATTATACAACCCATAATACCAGAATAAAAAGTACCAGAAATTAATTCGTGTTGGACTTCCATTTCGAACTTGGTTACGGGACGGAAAGATGTAATCCGAATAATCGCAGAGGATGGTTTCACAGTCGTCAAAAGGTATAGGAACCGAACACCAAATAAGCACCTAAATGGGAGAGGGAAAAAAAAAACTTATTGTTTAAATCTCATGTTTTTTTTGTTCCTGCTGTATCTATATTTTTTTTTTCATTACTTTACAAGCATTACTGGTAATATGTTGAGTATGCATGCGCGTTTATAAAAGGATTCTGTCCATTGACTAACTCTGGCAGCTGTAGGTATGATGATTCTGCTTAAAAGGGGTGTCCTTTCATCTGAAACGTCTACGTTTATATGCTGTGCTACTGAATTCGATCGCCATAAATCATCAGAACTATACTGTTATAAAAAAAATGCATGTTTTTTAGAGACTTAATATTTCGTTCATGGAAAGGAGCAATCCTCATCGATCTTACATTCCAAACATCTTCACTATTTCCTTGTTGAAATTGCGGCACCATTATAGAAATGAAAGAAGCTGAAAAAGAAAAGTTATAAAAGTGAAGAAAAAGAGAGATAGAAGAGGGAAAATAAGTAACCAAATATAAAAAGTGCTGCTTTCACAGTTTATTCAAATAAGGAAACTCCGACTCGATATCATTTCTCTCCTTTGCCGCTTGTAGAAGGCATATCAAGATAGGATGGAAACATCAAGATACGTTTATTCACAGGATGATCTACCTGATGTGTCTGGCAGTACCACTAAATCACCCAAAGAAAAAAAAACACAGGCGAAAGTCACTTTGAGTGACGATGGATGCACGGGGCATGAGATGGTGACTTGCAAGTATTTAAAGCAAATACCATGACTAAATAAAGCATCATCTTTTTCTGACGTAAACTGGTTTTATGTCATGGAATAAAACACAAATTCTTTCTACATATTTCCATTCCCCCTCTCCCCCCCCCCATATAAAAATAAAGGCCGAAATTTGACATACATAAGAATAAATGCTGCCTCGCACAAGTGTGTAACTTTTTTCAATGTGTATTTTCCAATAATTACTTGTATTCTGATTTATCGCAGAACATGTGTTATTTTGCTTCTGCTGTAACAAAACACGAATTGGATAGTTTGTATGATAAAGTTTAATTGCACAAACGTAAAAAAAAAAAAGCAATTACTTTATGTTAGTTATAATACAAAAGAATGTACTATCCCATATATATTGATATGCAATTGAGACTGGTTTGTCATTGTTCAGTTTTTGCGACACTTTAAAAGTATAATAGCACGTCAATTCCTTTTTTATGTCGAATACAAATGTCATTACAGAACATGTATCTGAGGGCTGTTCTTTTCCAAGGCGATAACAGGGAGCAAGTAATTACTCGATATGATTTCTTCATTATCACAGCGTCCAATCCAATTGTGTCTTTTTTTTGTTGTGACCTACGTCGAACTTTTTCAAGTTACCATGCACTTTTTTGCTAAACTATCGGTAGTTTAAAATCAATGATATCATGATTGGGCATTTTTTTTAAACACAAAGGAAACTCTCTCATGCAGAAATAAAAAAATTTAAAAATTATTTGTTTTTCTTTTATCTCTCTTTCTGCCTTTTCTATAACTAGTCTCATATGAGATCCGCATATGTATCAAAAAAGTATACTTACAGTGCTTTTACAAATTGAAATCATAAGAAATAACATTTTTTTTTCTTGCTTTGTTTGCTAATTCCTCCCTGTATTATAGAAACTATCGTCTTGATGACAAGTCATCCTTGTACTCGCCAAAAAGAATTACCAAAATGCGCAGTAAACCAGTCTATCCAAAAAATATGGATACGATCATCCAAAGCCTCAAAGACAATATGACAAAAATCACGTACAAGACAGTCGAATGTCTTGGGAAATCCACACAACCCCATGATCAATACGTCTATGATAAACTCTGTCAATCGTTGTATACACCAGTCCTTATACCCAACTTGTCTTTTACCACTGAAAAACAATCTGAATTTATTGATTCATGGCTCCAGTACCATGATTTAGGAATCTGCAGTTTGGATGGCTTTAGTATTCTTTCTGAACAAAATCAGTAATAAAAAAAACAGTGGCCATCTATTTTTTAACTTTTTTTTTACTGTGTAAGGATGAATAATAGTCATATCTTATAAACAAAGCCTTCTGGTTACACTCGGGTGAATAAATTCACGCAATTTATGTCAAACTTTTAGCCTCTCTTTTTCATTGCCTGAGATAGCATAAATGGGATTCTTTTTTTTTTTCAGGCACATTCAAATATCAAAGTACGTAATGTATCCCGTTTGACACCGGTTTAACATGTTTTTATTAAAAAAAACAGAAAGAGAGACGGTAGTAGTAAGATTTGGGGAGTGACATTGTCGCTTCCTGTTATTTGCGAGGGATAACAAGCATCACCTATTTAGGAAATGTTTGCATTTACCACAATACTGTTCTTTCATATTTTCATCTATCCATATGATGATACAATCCCCTACTATCAAAATTGCACCTAAAACTGTTCTTGAAAGCTTCATGAAATAACTTTTTTCAACATATGGGTCATGGAGTCAATGTCACTACCCGTATTTTTAGGGTATGTGGGTATCGTAACAACCAGACAGCTCTTCCATTTTGACGTGATAACAATGATTACTGCTTACTAGTACGTCGGTTGTCCAGTTAGATATAGTACAATCAAAGAACCAAAGTTTTAAGAAACGGGAAAACGTTTGATACTGCAGTTCACACAATGAGCGAAAAAAAAGGGGGGGGGGTCTTCCCGAGATGTAACTCATAACGTTCTAAATGTGGAGTCTGTCATTACGAAGGTTGACTAAATGTAAAGGAGTCAAATAAGGCTCTGTTTAAGTTTCTTTATCTGCACCGAGACAACGTTGACAAAGAGCCCTTTTTACGCATACATAGTCTTGATGTACATGTAAAAAAGGGATATGTAGGTTTGTAAACATGTGTTTTAATTTAAATCGCAATCTAAAATAAAAAATTAAACCTCATTTTGCATGGATATGCGAGCGTTAATCTGTTTTACCTGGTGTCGGGTTATTTTTTTCATGAAAAAGACTGGATGAATCGTTTAAACGCTGTGATACAAAAAAAAAACCTTTTGTATTGTTGCTGTTTATTGTTTTAGCGTAGTAGACAATGGTGCTACTACAAGTGGTGCAATGATAAACAAAATGTATATATATGAATGATTGTCGTACTTGACGGGGGGTAATGAGCCTCCCCTTTTTTTTTTCTTTTTTATTTTTGCTCTTCAGCCACATTTGATTTTTTATCCTTTTTTATTTGTGAATGTAATTTCATTATACTCTATTTAGGATGAACAGACTACATGTATAGAGTTCGATGATTTCTTATATTTCAATAAAACAACTAGTTTCTTTTGATGTAGATGTATTTAAAAGCAATAGAATTGATGTGTCGTTAATTACAATTTTAGTATAATAATATTAACTCAATAAGGAAATTGGGATCTTTGTTGTATATATAGAATCAAGTTGGTAAATATAGGTCTCCTCTCTTTTTTTTTTTATTTTTTTATTTTTCTCTTTGCTTCTCTTCTCTCTTTTTCTTTCTTCTTCTTCTTCAAATGTTGTCTAGCATTAAAATATCATTCTATATCATGACTGCCTTACTGGGCTCTCTGATGACAATGCAACATGGGCTTGTCATCAAGTCATTTCTATCCAAACATTTCATTTACTCTCCTTGGTTTGTTTTATTGACTACTTTTTGTATGATCAGGACAAATAAAAAGGTAACCCAATTTCCTATGATTGGCAATAAGACAATAATAAATGTATCTAAAAAAACTTTATATTTTTTAGCAAGCAAATTTCATTTCATCTGATACAATAAAGGAACTTGTTGTAAATGAAGCTGAAGCCGCGGTTCAAACTTCTCCTCATCCGGCTCATCTTCCACCACAAGCCTGTCCTTCACCACCACAGGAGACCTTTAGCAATGCATCACCGAGTCCGTTAGCATCGGCCAGTCATTCTTCCGAAGACTGTATTTCATCTAATAATTCACCACAGCCCTCGGTACAACACCAAGAGAAACAAGCGGGTAAACAAAACACAAAAACGGACGCAAACACTGAAGAATGGATTGTCGTGACCGAGAAAAAAAAGAAACCAGCTGTGTCTTGCACAAAGAAGATTAAAATCAATAACAACAAACACAAATCAAGAAATATGACAGCTAAAAATGGAAATAATAAGAATACCACACCAAACAAAAGAACGGTTTCACCCGTGCAAACATGTCTTGTCAAGGACGAGCAGGATGATGTACCATTCTTGAGTGATAATGAAAGCATGACCGAATCCATCCAATCCTCATCCTCTTCCTTCTCTTCTTCTGATCTCCAAAATGCACCCAAATATTATTCACCGTTTTCAACAGGCTTTGATCTCTTTCCGCTCTCCAATCAAAAGAAGCTGCCGCAACAACCCTTAGCAACCAATGGCAGACTGGATGAATACCTTTCATCACAACAGGCTCAATGGACACAGAAACAACAAGCATATACCCAAAGGAACTCCATCCTCAACCTGCTGATCCAATCCGATGAAGTCGAAACAACCATTACGCCTACCTGTTTTAAATACTTTGATGATATGATGATGTCCACTTCGTTATATCCAACAAATGATCATGCCTCTTTTCCATCAATCAATAAAAGAGACTGGGATTCATTTTCTCGTTAAAACATAAATATTTTTCTTTTTTTTTATTCGTCTCGTATTTTTTCAAATTCTAATCTTTTCAATGCACGGTCCGCTTCTTTAATACAACTGGCATGTTTGAAATCACGTCCATGTTGACGTGCACTAGCATAGAATTGACTTGCCTTTTCTTTATCCTTTGTTTGCTGTAAAATACACCAAAAGTGTCAGAGCCCCCTATCCCATCCTTACCCTTTTTTTTTTTGTTCTGTGGCTTACCTCAAACAGCATGCCCATATTAAATAACAAGACACCACAGGTTTCATCACAGAGTTCTCCATCCTTATTTTGCTTACGGGTATTGGGATTTTGAGCTAAATCCAATCCGCGTTGACCCCAAATCTTTGCCTCTTCATATTTTCCTAACCCTGAATAAGACTCGGCCAAATTATTCATCAAGACAGCAGATTGACATGATTTCATTCCGTTTAAAGTCAAGGCTCTCAAATACAGGTGAATGGCCAAACTACAATTTCCCCCCATTTTTCGTTAGTCACATCATCTTCCGTCTAAAAAAAAGAAACACTTACTCTGGCTTATTTCTAGAAGAGTAAAAAGCACCCAATGCTTCCATGGCAGCTCCAATATCCGTACTTGTCAACCAAGAGGGCATATGTTCCTCATCAAAGATTAAATCCGAGTTATCTCCATATTCCGATTTGGCCTTTGAACTTGATTTGAGCAAGTGTTCCACAGACCACACATACCACTTTTCCGCCTCCTCATCCTTCTTCATGGCACAAGTGATATCACCCAACTTTTGCGCAATACCCACCGCTTTCTTTTGTTCGGCGGGGGATAACTGTGATAGATCGACAGAGGTGACTTCGGCTAAACTTTGCTCGAGGCCCAGTAAATGACGAATGGCCAATGTCAAGGTGTTGCGCGCTTCTGGTAAACGGCCTAAACGTTCCTGTAGTGCACCTAACTGAATCATGATGCCTGTCAAGGGGGCTCCATTCTTTTCTAACTCGGGCGATGCTAGCGCTAAGGTCAGTGCTTCGTTAAAATATTTCAAGGCGAGCATGGCGTCCTTGTTTTGCTCGTAATAAAGCGCCTTTCTCAGCGCTTGACGAATGGGTACGGGAAACTTTTGAATGTCGGAATTGAGGTATTCATAGAGGCCGACGCCGAGACAGATAAAACTGACACTGATGAGTGCTACAGGTAAAGGTGGGATACGGAAAGGGCGAGGCGGTTGTGCAGGTCGAGTGTTACGACGTGCTGTACTGGCATAACGTTGAACACTCAAACGTGTTGGTAACCGGCTTAAACTTTTTTGAGCGCTGAATATTCTTTGCAGGGACATTTTTGTTTTAATAGGGTAATAAAAAAAAAAGAAAAAGAAAAGAATCCCCCCCCCCCAGCTTTGGGAGAGAAAAGCGGGTTTATGTTTTAATTAGTGTGACGTTTTTCAATCCACGCAGCTAACCCAATTGGAATGAAGTCAAATTCATGCAATTTCTCTCACTTTGTAAAAATTAATGATATGCGTGCTTATCAGAGTGATCTAGTTTACAGAAAATACAAACAGAAAAAGTTACAGTTAATTTGTATTTTATTATGAGGGCGTTATTATTTAAATGAAGAAAAAAAAAAGAGAGAGAAGATGGCGGGTAGGGAATGATGAAATAGATAACGATGAATTTTTTAATCCTTGAACTTGTGTGTACGGAGATCAAGAGCAATACTCTCAGGAGGAGCATTTTCATACATGACCTTGTAAATGGCAGTCATGAGAGGGAAACTAATAGTCTGAATTAGTCACTTATCGGATTGAGGCATGATATACAGAAATAACTTACTCTTTTGTCATGTTTCTTGCAGATAAGAAATGGTTCACTTCTTGTGATGTAGTTGTACCTTGAAGCTTTTGACCGTTCAACATCTCCTTTTCAATCTCTTCAATAGGTCTACCTGATTTAATAAAAGCAGCAGCAACCTTTCTGTTACGACCACCAGCACAAGTAGTGATAAGATCTGCAACACCACAAGATTCTATCAAAAAATAACATTGAAATTAAAAATCCGCTCGGCACTTTTTTTTTCTCTCAAGAAACTTACCAAAGAAGGTCTCTGTGTGAACATCACCAAAGAAGGATTTACCAAACTTTCTCATTTCAACCAATCCTCTACGGATAATGGCAGACTTTGTATTGTTACCATATTCAAGACCATCACAGATACCAGCACCAAGAGCGACAATGTTCTTGAGAGCACCACATACTTGAAGACCTCTGTAATCCGCAATGACATTGATATCGAAATAATCCGTGTGGAAGAGTCTCTGGAAAAGCAAACCATCCTCTGGCACTCTAGAGGCAATTGTACTCTCACCAAATTGTTCCTGGGCTACTTCAGAAGCAATATTAGCACCACTTAAAGCAGCACAATGAATACCCAAAATCTTTTCGATCTCCTCAGAAAAGATAAGCAAGTTGTTGTCCTTGTAATCCAAACCCTTGATTAAAGAAATGGCTCTGCAGTTCTCCTTGGGGATTACATCCTTTAGAGATTCACAAACTCTGTATACAAACTGATGAGGTAAGACAAACACAAGCATGTTGGAACCCTTGACAGCTTCCCTGACGTCGGGAATGGCAACCACGTTTTCACCAATATTAATGCCAGGAAGATATTTCACATTCTCATGCTTCTCATTGATGATATCTGTCAATTTCTTACCATCAATGTCTTCCTCAAAGACCCACATACGCACTTCGCGTTCAAAGAAATCGGGGTGCTTGATGGCGTTTTGTGCGCAGACACGGGCAATAGCAGAACCCCTAAAGAAAAATAAAAATTAACAACTGGGTCCTTTCATGCATACCACTTCTTATAATAAATAGATAAACTTACCAGTTACCGGATCCAATGACAGTAATTCTTTGTTTAGTAGCAGACATAGTATAGTGTATTTTTATTTATATTTAATTTTTTCAAATAAATGAAGAATATAAAAAAAAAAGAAGATTGTTTTAAGATGAGAACCTTATATAGGAAGAGAGACAAAAAAATAAAATTAAACGTCCGGAGAAACTATGGATTAAATTCATTATGAAACCTTGTCTTAGCAGGGACCAGCTAAATGACGTATAGACCAAAAAGATATGTGCTGGATTAATCTGTAGATAAGAAAGTTTGACATTCTTAATTTCTTTTACACTTGCATTGAAGATTGCGCTAAAAAAAAACGAGCGTCTTTTTTTTTTTTACTTCCGAAATCGATGTATATACATATTGATTCGGATCATGATAAGGGTCCTTTTACAGAAGCACAATTTTTTTTTTTTTCATAAATATCACGTATGCATAGATTAATGTAAAAACTCGTAGACAGATGATTCAAAATAGGCCCGCATAGCTTAATTTTTTTTTTTTTTATCCGAGGACGATACGTCATATGGACTGTTGAGATGGACAAGCATAAAGAAAACGTCATTGCATATTACCATAAATGTACATTTTTTAGACTCGAGATTAGTCCCACAACCACACCCCATGCAAGCAATATGTTCCTGTAAATCGGTACACATGGCACTTTTTTTTTATGTACATTTAGGACACATGCGCACAGGTAGTTTTGCGTTTCTAGTAAAATACAGATAAGCAGGACTGTTACCCAAATCACATTTTTTTTTTAAAGAGTCGGTATGATAAATTCGGATTAAGCAGCAGCAAAAAAAAAAAAGAGTGATTTCATTATCATCAAATAGTTACTAGTCGGCGGTTTTTATTAATTCTTGCATTAACCAAATAACGAGAAGATAAAAATGTCGACCCATTTGGTACATTACAGCCAATCGGTAATGGTATATATGGGACATCAAGATATGATGGATTTATTAAACAAGGTTATCTCCATGTCCATATCCCAGTCTTAACAGAAAGCTAATTTACCATTTAAATCTTGATTACAACCCTGGCATGCTTTATTAAGTTTTCCTCTTCAAAAAAAGTCAGGAAAGCCAAGCTACAGGTACAAGGAATTTCCTCTCACTTCTATTTTATACCATGTTATTATTTACGACTTTTTGAATTGATTTATCAAAACCAAAGACTGTAGAAAAATTGCAGTCCGTATCCCCTTCTTTCTCTCTTTTTAGCAATCACTTCAAAGGATTCTGGTGTCAAACTCCCTACATCGTTTTAACAAGCTGGTTACACAACATGCCACAGAAGGAGGGGCGGAGCGTTTACTGATAAACTATATCCAATGGTAAAAAAAAAAACTCCATCTTTCGTCAAATCCGTCTTCTTTTCTTTTTTTGTCATCGTATACATCTCTGTTAAGCAAAATCTGGGTTTATTCTTACACCATGATGCCGGCAGGATTATTGTTTTTTCTCAAGCTTACAATTAGCCATCAGTGCGCGCCTCCCTTTTGAAATTTCCTTTTTGAGATCTTTACAGGCGTGCGGAATATGAATTCTGTACACATTACCATATATCTACGTAGTAAGCACTATATTTAAATACCTTTGATGGCATAAATGATACGACCAAGTTGGCTTTGGGTCAAAAGTAAGTTTGAATTGGTTGTTACCCAGTTAATCATATCGAGACTTTCTTATCCACTGTGTATTCAGGTTCATCATTTAACCTCTCACGTAGGATTCTACCCTTCCAGATCGGAAAAATACATTGTTCAGAATGACATCAGTGTATACGTAGAACGCAATGCTTTTTTTTTTTTTTTTTTTTTACTTTATCAAATACGTTGTCGGATTTCCAAAGGTCCACAATTCACTTTTGTTTGTTTAAAATCAATTCAAATGAATGCAGAGACTCTTTCTGGTTTATGAAGATAAAAGTAGCCAAGGGTTCGTTGTAGTAGAATGGCCCCAAAATAACGTAGGTAATACATCACTCTGTCAAAAGCAGAGGTAAATAGGGATATGGTTGCTCATTAAAAGTTGCTTATCCCTCATTCCTTAACTTAACCCAGTTTAATGATTTTTACCTTCAACAAGAAATCTTATTTAATATTAAATAATGTTATTTTTATTTTTATTTTCAAGTTCACGATTGAGAAAGAGAAACTCGATCAGAATAGTCATGTCTAAAGGCAATCTTTGAAGGAAAATGAAGGAAGGGCTTAATTTTTATTTAATGTTTATTTCATAAGAAGGAAAAAAAAAGTGAATGTTTATTGCGCTGATGCCAATTGAGACAAAAACGTTGCTGTATTTTGATGAATCACCAAAAACCACTGTTTAAGACTCATATACGTCAAAGTTTCCGAATCAAGATTGTTAATTGCTTCATCGACGGGAATTCTTTTTAAAACGCGTTGAGTAGCATCCCAAATGATAGGATTATTTTTGAAATCCTCAGGGATATTTTGTTTCAGGTTATCAAAAGTATCTTGTGCTAAAGAATGAGTTAGTTATTTAATGCAACGAAACATTTGGATGTAATGGACTTTACCAACTCCGGGTAATGTTCTGTCCCATGCAACGTCTTCTTGGAGCATATTAGCAAGGTCGTCAATGCGTGGTCTAACAACATCAATGTTAAATAGCTTTTCGTTCAATTCTTGAAGAATATTGACAAATCGGTCCTTGAATTCTGGCACGAGCATAATTCGTTTAATCAAGGGTCGTTGATCCCAGCCCAAGACAGCTGAATAATTACCAGACGACAATTGGGAGACGTTTGCGAGAGTGTTACCAAGACAAAAATCAAGATCATGAGGGATGTAAATGTACTGCTGCGTCTTGGGATTCTGATAAATGAAAAAGTTGTTGTTGTTGCTAATGTAACCATCGGAATAGCCACCCAAAATCTCAATGGCCATGCTAGATTGTTAAGTTGAAGATTAGTAACAAATCATACATTGTAAAAAAAAAAAGAATAGGTTACACTTACGAACGAAGAAATGCTTCAGTATCCATCATCTTATTCCAAACAGTGACGGCATCAGATGTGTTAACAGGAGCTTCGGCAATAAATTTTGTGAAATCCATCAAAGGCTGGAAATTATCCTTGGATTCGCCATTTGCTTCTTCCTTGACTTTATATTGACCACCTGCATATGCCGTGATATTGTTCTCATAATAAGCTAAATCAGAAGTATCTCCGGCAGATGAAGGCGCACCGGTTCCTTGATAAAGATAACCATTTTTATAAGAAGAATCGCCACCAGCAAATTCATTGGCCAACCATGGATTTTGAAAAGCTTCAACAAGACCAAATAAACCAAGCTCTCGATCATTCATAAACACACGAACATAAGAAAATTCAGTAGAGGCTACACCGACCGAAGACAAGATATCATAACCCATTTGTTCCCGTACATAAGAAGGATCAAAACCCAGACCACGAAGTTTGATGCGTCGATAACCAAACAAAGATTCCTTCTTTTGAATTTTCAAGATATAAGACAACTTGGCCAACAAATTGCTACTACGGCCAGATAATGAGAGTTCAACATTTTTGAATTGAAATGCGTCTTCTAAGGAAACGTAAGAAACTGTTGTATTCACGGTGACAGGATCAGCTTCGGAACTATGATGCATCAAGTCCAATGCCGTTTGGTTAGCAATAAAATGAATGGTAGGGATCTCGTCATCCTTATGTAATGAGGAAACCACGCGATCTCTTGGGCTGGTAGCAGAATAGACCTGAGGTATACGAGCATTGGAGTGCTTGTTCCAGGTACGATTAAAAAATTCATGCGGCGTGCTTTCAATGGCTTGAGGAGAACGTAAAAATGGTTCCAATAATTGCTCCCCAGTGCTGTTGGCTGTTTTGGCATATCGATATCCTGACTTTGGAATGGGAGCCTCTCCTGAAAAAATAATAGGGTAGGTCGAATTCGACTTCAACGGATAAGCAACATCGTCTACTACAACAGACATAGAAGTATAGAGATTTTGGTTCAAAGTAGCAATTACTTTGTAATCCATCATTTGAGCATGACTGGTGCCAGCAAAAAGTAAAAGAATAGCTAAAATATACACGTTAGCCTATAACTTGTTTTTTGTATAAATAAATGGAAAGCAACTTACAAGATGTGATTGCGATGAGTTTTGAATGAATCATAATTGTTTATGGAGAGAGTTAAAAAAAAATAACAGCACATTTGTCGATCCTTTATATATACTTTAAAGATTCTAGAAAAAACAGTAAAACGACTGCGCTCACAGTTGTTGAGATGTAACAATGGAAGGACCGGATCTTGGCGTTATATGCTACCTTGTTAAGTAGGCATTGTTGTTATTTTACTACAGGCTATTAGTCTTTATTGATAAAATCCACATTGTTAAGCTTAATAAAAGATAATCATGTACTGTATGTACCTGTTGATTTGCTTCTCAAAAAAAGTGAAGTAATGCTTCATTGTATTCTTTGCTATGAAAAATCATACTTTGAATAAAGTTTAAAAATAGATGTTACCGTTTGGACTGAAATTACAAAATGTACAGAAGTAGGATTAGGTGGAACCAAACTATACAAACACTTCTCGCCAAGATTTCGTGTATCCCTATCACGTTAAATTCATATGGCACGTATTCTTGTTCTATCGATATCTTTGGGTTTTCTTAAAAAAGGGATGGCAAACCTGTCCTCTTTTTACTCTTTCTGCCAAAAAAAAAAAAAGGGTTTAAAAATAAAGTGAGTATTCGTTTATCTGATTATGTAAATTATTAGGCTTGTGTTATGTCTTATGATCGGATTTCTTTGTAACACTATTTGGAGTATATTTTTTTTTCCCGAGACGTGATGGTTCCACAAAATAAACCAGCCTTTAATAAATGGTAAATGAAAAATATCATTAATCTGGTACATGCCTCTAAAAACTGGGTTTTTCATAGCTGTATAAATGCACAATAATGTTAAAAAGACCTTTTGATTATCACAATAACGACAGCAACTTATACTGATCAGTCATTATAATAAAAATGTCAGGTTTCGATCAAACAAATTTAGATAATCCTGTCATACTTTTTATCATAATCGCCATGACGTATGATGAACAATGAAAGACAATACT